TTCATTACATGATTGATCGGAACTCGACACTGATATGGATGCCCACAAGGCAGTCTGGAGTGTTGATTTAAAGTTTAATTCAATTCCCGAAAGAGAGGCCTCTTGTATGTCGAATTTCCTTTCCCAGAACCTGACTCTCTTGCCTCCCTCGTGGGCAGGGATGGGGCTTCCTTCACCGAGGCCTACTGTACCTCCCCGACTGTATGTTTTCCACGTTCTCCGTTGATATCTTCTTCCCTTTTTAATTTTGATGCAGTTTTCGTTTCAACAAAGGGGGAGAGGAGGCTTGGTGGGCGGGGCATCTGTCCATTAACACTTGTTAACCCAATTTAGACTCAATTTCCATAGACGACATCGCACGTAACTGTGAATGTATCTGCACGCCGTCGCTCCCCGTATCTGTGTATGGCTGTATCTTTGTATCTGCTGGAACACAATTGGAGTAAAAGGCCCTGCATTGTCACACGAGCCGACGCACACACGCACACCCTGCAACAATAGCAGCACAGCCGCCAGAGGGGCAGACCGACAGGCCGACAGACCGACAGACAGCCAGCCGGGCAATAAAACAAGTGACGCAGCCATTGACAGCCGCAGCCGCAGCCCCAGTCGCTCCGAAAAACAACAATCACCTCAAGGTTTACCGCTCGACGACTCGAAACGGGGCACGCTGAGCGGGGCTCAGGGCGGGGTGGGGGCTCCGGCCAGCCCGCGTTGGCGAATTTTCTTCGGCTGCTTCTCAGCGTTTCTTGTTTTTTGAAGTATTTTTGGTTATAATTTGGGGCTGACCTCCATTGCTGCCGTTCCTCAAAGCCATCCACTGCCTCTGCCAAAGCCTCCAACTCCGAGAAGAGGGGCCTTGAAAGTACCTTGTACCTTGTCTTCCCTGAAGAGCATCTGGCAGTCGGCTAGGGGCTACCTCCTCGGGCCTCACTTGTTTTTCGGGGCCTGCAAACTCAATTAAAGCTGCCAACTTTGCGGCAAACAAGTTCTCGGCCCGAAACTGGTCCGATTTCTCAAAGCAACTGCTCTCCGGTGATCTTTGGAGCTCCGAGACTTCAAAACAACCCAAAACCGAAACAGAGTCGAAGCCACAAGTACTCACAGTCTTTAGAAAGCAATGCGACTGCGAGCGAAATCGGCTATCTACAAAAGTTCAATTCTCCCTGGGACTTTTCGGTTATTATATTCGGGTTATATTCGGATGTGTTGGAACTCACCTTCCCTGCAGCGAGATGGTAATAAAAAGCCAATTAAAATGGCCAATAACTACAATAGCCAATCAATTAATTGAGGCTCTAATGGTGGAATCGTGGGGAGAATCGGTTAGGGTCTCTGCTGAATGCGACTCGGCCTCGCCTCCACTGACCCTATCCGTCATGTATCCATCACACCACGCAACCGACAGCGCCAGAAGCCAAATCTTGGCATGTCAGCAATAGTTGGGGAAAAGCTGGGCAAATATTCCACAAATAAAGATAATTTCTCGCTATCTGGCTTATATGAGCCCTCCCTCACTCCCGTTTGGCTTAATTGAAATGTTTGTTGTGGCCGACTCGGGCCTTGGTATCCGCCAGATACAGACACGGCCATCACGGGCAGCTGTCGCTTCCACTAGCTTCCAGAGCGCCACTTCCCAGGTCCACTCCGACCTTTCGCGGATCTTTGGGGCTCTATCCGGACCCCGTTTGGATCGTCGGAATAAAATATTCGCCTCCGTTCGGGGCTATGACTATATTCATGGATTCGCTCGATGGGCCACTTAACTATTCCGCCACCGAGCCCCAATCGGAATCCCAATTCTGTTTACCAGTTTCTGCGCTCGGAATTCCGTTGTATCTGCACTTCGGAGTCTACGTGCTGTCTTGCATGGAAATTCATTTACATTTCCCCACCGTGCCCCGTCTTTACCCCCCGTTCAAAATATATATTTTTCGGCGGACTGGCAAACGGAATCAACAATGGAAAATCATTTTAAACATTTCTCGGGCTAATGAATTGGAATCTTGGAGCAGTTTCCTGGGGGGCTAGGCAGTCTTGAGAAAAATATTATTTTGAAAACTAGACAGCCTGCTATATAAGCTATATGCTGAAAAAATATCCATTGGGAAGTCGGCGAGGGGGAAGACTCCCTCTGAGTGACATGTCAGCTCTGCCATTTCGCTGACCCACCCACCCACTCTCTTCGGGCTTCTTGGTGCGTGGGCTGCTAGGATGTTTGCTTTGAAAAACCTTCGCTGTTTTTTGTTTTTTGCCTTTTGGGGCAAAAGGAGGACCAAGCCACACACACAGAGACGCCGCCATTAACGTATCACATAACAAGTAGCAGAAGCTGGCCAGGAAGAGGGAGATGGAGAGGGCCAAGAAACGGGGAGTCGTCTGCCTTTAATGAGAGATGCACGCGTGTACCATTTTTCCCTTTTGGGAGTTCGTTCTGGCACGTTTCTCCGGCATGTGGAACCTGTTCTGGGAAGCCAGACGGCCTCAGCGGTGGAACCTGTTCGGGGATTGTTCCCAATCCAGATCTAGGTAACTTTAACTCACGGGTGCTACCGGTATTCTTTAAATCGCATCGTTACCTAAATTGGGTTGAAGGAGAAGGAGTCCTTGTAGCTTTAAGGTGTCTAGACTCGCGACCCTGTCTTCCCAAATAAATGTATTTCAAAGGGTTATATCTGGAGATATCTAACTATTCTACCTTTCAGCTGCCTTATGAAATGTTTTGAAAGCTGAAATCCAACCCAAAACAAACTCTAGCTCAGGATAGGAGACCAAGCCAGACCAATCCCAGGAGCACGATGGTGTGTATCTGCAAGAGCTGGGAGAAATTTCAAGAAAATAAAAGACAAGAACGCCTACACAGTCTGGCGGGGAAACAGGCCGAGAAACATGGAGGGGCAGGGAGGCGGGGAATAGGAGACTGACTGGGTTGGGTTGCACGGCTGTCTAAGCTCCTTTCACCCACTCGGGGAGCGATCCCTGGGATGGGGGGCTCTCCGGGGCTAGGGCACACAGAGAGCTCGAGTTATTAGCGGCCGGCGGAGATTTATGGGCGAAAGTACAACCAAAAATGCAACAAAGTAAGCGGAAACTTGAGGCACTGAGATACTGAGGCACTGATCGGCAGAGAGATGTTGAGGAAACGAGATACTTGGCGAGAAGAAACCGCAAAGGAAGTCGAGAATGCGGAGCGAGAAGGTAATTAGGCCGGAATGGGAAGGGAATCCAGGCCGGGAGAAGAAAGCTGGCACAGTACACACTACCCTATCCAACACCTACAAGTACTATCCCTTAGTGGGGACAGTTGCAGTGATATGGTCTGGAATTATTAGGTCTGGAATTAATTTGCAAGCGAGGGCTGCGATTAGATTGTGGGAACATGTATGTAGCTGGCCAGCGCCAGCCGGAAAATCCAGAACAATTCAGAGAATCCACACGGGGCTATCGCGGCCCGGCTGTTGGGGCTTGGCATTGTATCCCGGCGCTATCTCGGCCCGAAAACTCAAACAAACCAGAAGACGGGTCTTATCAGAGCCCCGCGGAAGAGCAGGGGGACTATCTCGATAGCCAGCCAAACACGACCAAACCACAGCCCGATAAACAGCTCGCGGAAATTGGGAGAAAAATAAAATCGCCAAAAATAAAAGCAAAAATACGAAAAGGCAACAAAATGGAAAAATATTCCAGCCACATGCTGATGACGACAGCGACAGCGACCGAGAACGAGAACGAGAAGGAGAATGAGAACCTCACAAGAAATAACAACAAAATGGGTATTTTTATAAGTCGCAATAAGCGAAAAATAAATAAACCGAAGAAATAGAGACAGAGAGAGAGGCGGAGAGGGGGAGGAGACTTAGATTGGGAGACAATTGGGGTGGTAATTGCGTCCGCTGGAATTTTCAATGAGCTTGGGAAGCGGCGAGGTGGCCGTGTATCTGTGAGATACACTTCTCCGAGGTGTATCTGACGATAACTCATAATGGCAATAAAAAACAGGCAGCCATGGTCGGGGGCTTCTGGTCCTTCGAGACAGGTTCTCCGATGTTCGAGCATGCAAACCTCATCGAAGGAACTGTGGAGAGCCAGGACCTAGTCTGGGGAGAGTCCTCCCCAACCCAAGAGACAGAAACCCAAACACAAACAATCAACAAAGCCAGAAACAGTGACAAACCATGTGAATTATCGCTTTCCAACGCTCTTCCCGTGCGAAAAGTTGCCATGGCGTCTATTGTGATTATCAACAATGAAGGTGGGAGAGGGGTAAGGGGGCTGGGAAGGGGATAAAGCCGCCACACGGCGATAAGAGCCCAAGGAGCGGAATTATGGCACGGCAACCAATAATAATAAATATTGCGCCTATGCAGTAATAACAACATTCATTCGCCAGCGCGTGTGTGATAACGATAACTCAAGACACTGAGCGATTGTCACGACAATCGATATTTGTAATCACAATGTCCAGTGGAGTAATGTGTGCTAAGTAGTTCAGAAACTGTTCTAGTGATTTGTCATTAAATAACGGAAAATATTCAAGAAATCCAATAGATTCTTTAAGAAGTGAGCTTTCATCTTTAAAATATGTAAATATGTACATATATGTATCTCCCCGATCTTAGACAAGATGTTACTATGTCAGATGGAATATTTTGTACTAAATAGAATGGAGAATTAACTAGAGAAATCCTTTAGAAATCAATGTACAATCACCCATATTTAATCCCCCAGATAGACAAGATTCCTAAAACTCAGGTAGAATAATATTTACAAACAGTAAGGAGCTACATAGATAGACCTTGATAGATAGTCCAACTTTAGTCTATAGATCTCTGAATTAAGAGAAAGAAGAGTCTTAAAAGAGGGCTATACAAATCCAATTCTTTATTTTATTCATTGAATAATTATTTTTCTAGTTCTTATGTTTAATTCTATCTAATCTGATTATTGAAACTTAAAAAAGTGATTTTAATTTAAAGAATTATTTAGTTTCTGAAACTCACCTGTTTGACGTTTTCTTTTGCTTGTTGCTGTTGCTGCTACTGCTGATTCTGCTGCTGTTGTTGCCGATGTTGCAGTTGCAAGTTGCTGATGCTGCTGCGTCCCGTCCCCAATAGCCGTTACCGTTAGACCGCAGCCGAAGCCAGCTTTGCGACTGCCGTAGAAGGACTTGTCTGCAGCCCCTGGGCCAGAAGTCGGGCAGAAGCCAAAGCCCGACTCTGATGCTGAAGCTGGAGAAGATCCAGCGGCTCCTCCCCCGGCGGCGAACGCGGCGTAGTCAACAAAATCGGAAGCTCTCGGCTGGCAGGACGTTTTCATTGGCGCATGCTATCCCGTTCTGGCGTCTCTGCTGTCTCGCTTGCCAAAAAGTGGCTCAGTGATCTCGCATCTGGGCTCCGGCTCGGCTAGTTATGTATCTTTTGTACAAAATATTGCAATCTACTTGCGATTTCCGTTAACTTTTCAATTTTGTTTCAATTTTTTTAAAATTAATTCGAAGGATTTATTTACAATTATAGATACTTCCGGGACAAATACGATTTATACCAAATTAAAAGAGAATCTGCAAGAGATGGAGAAGATACAGTCAGTAAGGTGGGTTTATAAGTATCTTACAGATACACGCACTCGTGGGATATTTCGCAAAAGGTGGAATATAATTATAGAAATGTTTAAGATTCTTGATTGAAGGCCCCTCCTAGGCCTCTAAGGCCTTTCTACCTGGCTCGCGAATAGAACTACGCAGAAAGCGTCGAAAACAAGATAGGAGGTCGAGAACGAAAACAAACTTCGAGCCGAAAAAAGCAAACAAAACAGAGAACAAAATCTTTATCGAGATTACGCACTTCTGGCCCCAACACACATCCACCCATACCCATACCCCCCGCCCATACCATCCACACTCTTCTACGCACTTTGCTGAAAATTCTACGAAGCCGAAATCGAGCCTAATTGGCGACTTTCGTTACAAAACCCAGGCCATAAAAAAGAAACTCGGGCCTAAAATTACCAACAACAACAATAAAAACAACAACAACAAATGATGAAAGAAAACAAGAAGCCGGTTCCCGAGGTGCGGTGGGACGTGGTAGGGCGGACGAGTTGCTGAATGGGTTTCGGTTGGCAGCTGCTGGTGGTTGTGGATCGAAGGGAGGTACTTGGAGGCCTTTACAGATACTTTCGTTGGAGAACTTTTCATCCCGAAATCGATGGATGTATCGATGGATGAAGTATAGCTTATTACTTCTAATACCACTCTCCCTAAAGGTCTGTGATATCGAACACCATTTGAAAGAAAAAGACTTCAAACTTCTTGAAAAAAAGGGAAGAAATACAAGTAAGGAAGGTGCCTCTACCCGGAAGCTTGGTAACCAACAGATCTGTATCTGCTTATAGAGGACTTGCGGATACAGATACTCTGTTTATAAACTTTCCATGGAAATGTATGTGGGATAGAATCGCCAAAATACAGCCACAATAAATCAAGACCTGGTGGAAAGGCCCACCAATCCACCAATATCTGCCGCATTTCGCACTGGGCTGTGATATCGGACACCCTTTGGGACTGCGCCGCTGGAACCGCTCGTCAACAAACAAGTGACTAATGCTAAAATGGCATTTAGTTAGCAGCGTCGGCCCTGGCAGCGACGTCAGCGTCAACGTCGCCGCCCGGCGCAGACGTCAACAACGAAGAAGAAGAAGAAGACGACGGGGCTCGAACAGAAACCGGGCTGGAAACAAGTTTCTTGTTGCTGGCCGAATGTTGTTGTTGTTGTTGTTGTTTTGGCCATCACATCTCATTTTTTGGGTGTAACCGAAATTAATATTTATGTTTGTGGATTTTGTTTTCTGTTTGCGGGAAAATTGCAAAACACCAAAGGTTTTCTTTCGTAATATTTCACAGCACCAGCACCAGCACTCAGATACGCGCACGCACTCACAGATACAAGCACCTGCCAGCCAGGCTGCCAGCCAGCCAGCCTGCCGTTTATTTATGAATTTTAATTTTATTTTTGCGTTGCACCTTTTCCCGCAGCTCCCGGGCCAGCGCCTGCGACGGCTTGCAGATTCCTCTCTCCCACTCCGCTCTCCGGCGGATTCCTTCAGCTCCCAGCGTTTTCCAACTGAGGACGTGCAACGTCCGCTCGCGAAGCCGCCTGTGGAGACTCTGCGAAGGCCCCTCGGACTCCAAGCGGCACGCCGAGACTTGCCTCAGAGCCGAAACCCAAAGAGAGCTCCGGCTTTCGCTCTCTCCCTTGAGCCTGCGCAGCCAAGAGCCCAGGCTCTCTTTGCTCTTCCACTTCCTTTCTCCTTTCTCCTTCCTCCTTGCTCATTGCTCCACCTCCCCGGGCCCCACCCCTTTCGCCGTTCAATCTGCGACGTTTTTTAAGCTCTGCCCGGGGGACGAATCGCGAAATTATTTTTGCTTTCTTTCTTTATGGTTGTTGCTTTGGGTTTTCCCTCTTTCTGATACCCTGTAATGTCCTGACGATGTGGGAAGGGAAGGGTACAATAGCCCATCTCTAGCAAAGTAGTTTATTGTATTTCAAGGTATCTGCCATATCATATCCCTGAAGAGCTCCCGGAGGACACTATTTCGGAGGGAATGTTTGCCCTTTCCAGGGTATCCCTACGTCCAAAGGCTAATTTACCCTCCGCTGCTTACGTGGATGTCCCACCTCGGGCGCCACCTAACGGTGTGAGGGCTCCATTTGACACGTAAGGATTTGCGTCGGCAGCGCCACAGAGCGGCGGGCAGAGAAAGGGTGAAGGAGAGCGTGGGCCGCCCAGAGAACCGAGCCGGCAAAGGGGCACCTTGCGAAATAGTTTTCCGAGGGATGGGAGGGGGCCTTCGAGGGCTTTAGGGGATGGGAGGGGTAGGTGGGATAGCCGGCGGACAAAAAGAGACGCAATAGCGAAAAACTTGCGTCGTGGGCAGACTTAATTACACACACACACACACATGCACACACACATGTAGAGGCGAAATGGAAATGGCTGTGTGGGCCAAGTATTTTTAGCCCACTCGAGGAACCGTTATAGTTTCACACTCTCAGCGAGGCAAGCGGGAGGGGCTAGGGGGTCCCCTAAAAAGGATCAAAAGAAAACATATGGCTTCCGAGGAATAATTTGATCGAATTTGGGTTAACAGGGAGGACCCAGCGGGGCGAGCATGGGCTGTCCTGGAAAGGGATTCGATTCGAAATTCAACAATGGGAAGGGAAGCCATGGAACTGCCAAGAAACCGATGACTCTCGACCAAGATTTAAGGTTCTATTAAAGCTTTTCCCTCCAGGATGCGAGTTCTACAAGTCCCGGGCCGCGGTGCTCGGCCTAGGAGACTCGATTATGGGCGGCTCTAACTGGTTTAGTGGCAACGTCAGCACTGCTCCGGCCCCTCCAGATGCCCCTGCAGCGCCAACGCCACAATTCAATCAGCAATATGGTCGGCAGCCTGGGCATCAATTACAGGCCAATAAAGCTGCCTCTGCCGCTCCAGCTCCCTGCCCCTTGCCTAATCTCATTTGGTAAACTTTCCAACAGCTGTCGGGTGTAGAATGGCCGATGGCGCGGGGAGAGGGGGAGGGGCGTGGGAGGAACACCTAACATATGGAAGCTTCTACTTTTTTTCCTTGTAAGCTCTAATTGACAGCTGCCAGGGTGGGGCGGCCGAAGGGGCCGAGGAGGGGCTAAGCCGGGAAAACCCACAAGCAGTTACACACATCCCGCCCACTGCCCACCCCCCGCCGCCCCCGGCATATCGTTAAAGTTGTGCAACAATTTCTCTTCAAGTCATTTGCATGAAGTGGGAGCCAGCCGGGGAAAAACCCATCCGGAGTCGTCTCTCTTTCGGTATCCTTTGCCCAACTGAGATGGCAGGAAGAGGGATAGGGCAGCGGAAAGAGAGGCAACGGCTTCCGCCCGCCAGTTGTTTTTTTCAGCTTTTGTTTTGATAAGTGCAGCAGCCACACAGCTTGCAACAAATCCAAAACAAAAGTGAAGTTGGGTATCTCGCCGAACCGAAGATTGAATTAAAAGCAACCCTCTCTACATAATATGCCTATAGAGGACTCTGAATTTCAATAAGACTTGAGATACAACCCAACAGATACATGGTTTCTGGAGGGAGTAGCGACTCTTGGAGGATCGTGGCCTAGGAGCCTAGAAAAGTATCTTCCTACTAGAAGATCCGTGGAGAGAGTTACTTCCCTCGATCCTTAGAGGATCATAGCTGAGGAATTTTACCAGAAACATCCTCAATGAAGCCTAGGGAGGGAAGGAGGACCCGCACCCGCATGGGAGCCAGAAATAAAACGACATTTCCCATATGGAAGTGGAAACACCCCCAGCGGAGGCAGCTGCCACGACGTACTCGACACTCGACAGAAACACCCTGTATATTTGTTGCTAAAAAAGCAGACAAACAAAATACACAAGTACAGCAACAATTCCAGGCCGAATTCATAAAAAACAACTTAAATATACAATTGAAAATTAATTCTCTCTCGCTCTTTTGCTCTTTGTCGTTCTCTTCGCACACTCACACACACACACACACACACAAAGCAGCTACGTGCGCTACTTTGAGTTCGTCGTTTTCAATTCATTTTCAAGAGTTTCTCTCTGCTGCTTCTTTGCTTCTCGCCCAGCAAACACAAAACAACAAAAAAAAACACGCCACACACACACACATACACACACGGGTAGGGAAATTCGATTGCTTTTCACATTTTGCTTACTTTTTTGCTTCATTTATGCTTAGGTAGAAAGTTAACTCGATTTATTAATATAAAAAACACTGGCCATGGCTCGGTCGCGTTCCACTGTTTTCACTCACGCACACGAACGGTGGCACACACGGATGTCGGATTTGTTATTCGTTATCCTCGCTCGTTTCCGTTACCCGTTCTCTGACTCGTTCTGTTTTCCGTTTTCATCCGAGTTCACCCGTGTTATCGCGTCGATTGCACAGTGCTACCAAGTATCAGGGAGGCCAAAACCCCGTCGCTGGTATTTTTCATTGGTATTTTTTCTGTTGGTCTGAGACTACCACAGTGCAATCCTATTTTCTTTGCTAAATTTAAATCTAATTTGGATTCCTAAATAATTCTTTTTCCCTAAGCTCGATGACTTCAACTGCATTCTATACTTGGAAAAAATACAAAGTTGACTATTTTATTTGAATTTTGGTATTTTGGCAGTAACACCATTACCGGTTCATTACCGGTATATGATTTAAGACTCGCAGATGAAAAATATGTGTTCCAACGACTCACTACCTTTAAAAATCTTTTTAGAGACATCCTATTTCTTTTAAATTCCGAATTTATTTTTTTTTTTCACTTCTTTCAAGATTTTTTTCAGTGTATTATTTTTGATACTAACGTTTTTGGTATAGTTTTAACGATAGTTTACCGATACATACTGCAAATATATTTGCGCCCTGCCGGATTGTAAACAAATCCTTAACTTCTGTCAAATCTTCAATTAAACATAAACATAAAGATAAACAATGCTGTCTTTGACCGATCCTGCAGCGGGCGGAATTCCCGACAAGGCCTGGCAACCGCATTTCGTGACATTGGAGACCAGGCAAGACGACTGAACTTTTTCCCTACTTAGTGTCAAATTCCTAAATATGTATTCCCCCACAGCATGGGTGAAATAACCGTGGAACTATACTGGAAACATGCACCCAACACGTGCCGGAACTTTGCCGAGCTCTCCCGGCGAGGGTACTACAACAACGTGGTCTTCCACAGAATCATAAGGGATTTCATGATTCAAGGCGGAGACCCTACAGGAACGGGCCGCGGAGGAACCTCCATATACGGAGCAGAATTTGGCGACGAGCTCCACGGCGATCTGAAGCATACCGGCGCTGGAATTCTGTCGATGGCCAATTCCGGACCCGACACAAATGGATCGCAATTCTTCATTACATTGGCGCCGACCCAGTGGCTCGACGGCAAGCACACGATCTTTGGAAGAGTGTACACCGGCATGGAGGTGGTCAAACGGATAGGAATGGTTGAGACTGACAAGAACGACCGACCCGTGGATCCACTACGCATTGTCAAGGCAAAGGTGGACAAGCTGTGAGGATTTCCTAAATGTAGAGAAATACTCTTTTTAAATATAATTTCTATATCGAACTTTAATTAGGGAATGACTAGAAAGAGAAGATCATTTTGATTGCACACGTCTCACAGTGGGTAGCTTCTACATGGTGCTGTCCAACATATCCACCAATCGTTTAATCTCACGGCTGCAAAATGAGCAAGGTTAATAATATAGAAACAGGAAGACCCTTTCTCAGGATGGCTTACATCCGCTGTCCTAGCTGCTCTGTGGGCTTCATCGACTTGGTGATCTCTTCCGTTTTGGCAAGCAGTTGGTATTGACACTTGATGTTCGCATCTAGGGTATCTGTCAGCTTGTTGACCGCATTACGATGCACCTCAACATTATCCGCAGTTATGGAGGAGATGGAGTGAAGCAGATTGCCCAGGTTTTCCATCAGATTGTCCACCGAGGTGGCCAGGTACTGAGCCTCTAGCTCTATATCACTAAGAACACTGCCATCCACTTCGGGAACAGTTCGAGATTGAAGGAATCGTCGCGTGAGGAGTCCACTACCCGTAGATCCTCCCACGGCTCCTGGCCCCATTGAAGTCGAAGGGGTAGTGTGTTCCGAAGAGCAATCCGTGTGAGCGGAGGTACCCACGCCTTCCCGCAGTTTGGCTTCCAGATCATGAGCCACGAAATGACGCATTCCCCCAGGCTCACTTGCTCCTTCCAGTTCATAAGGAAGATCTACAAAAGCTAAGAGTAAAGTAATTGTGCGTTGGAGGGAATAAAATCTTACTGCTCTCATGTTTTGGCCTGTTTCCTTGATGATCCCCTGAACTGTCTTTGGAGTTGCTGTTCGAATTGCTGTTGTCTTCGTCCCCTGGATCATCCTCCTCTCCTTCCTCCTCTTCATCACCAGAGTCTAGGTTGACGTAGCTCTCTCCATTGGCCCCGTTCCCTTGGTTTCTAGGCAGTGGATTTCCCGATGCCGTGGGTGTGAGGTCCTGCAGGACGTGCTCCGGCACTGGTCCTGGGTATTGAGCCAAAAAAGGAATCTCTGTGTATGACGAAGCAGGTGTGGCTTGTGCCCCAGTCGAGGACCGCTCCTGGCCGCTCTCCTCGTCCACATATCCATATCGCGGACGAATAGGAATGTCCTGATGACGGTTGGTCATGGAAATTTTCTTGGGGCTCTTAAAAATCGATTAATAAAGGAAATGTCCTCCAAGGAACGAACAAAAACAAACTGTTGGGACCAGAGTAGTGTGACCAGATGCTAAATATGAACATTTCCTAAATTTGGCAATGCTTTTGGTATGAAAAATGTTTGAAAAGTAGTTTTTCGAAACTGAACGAAAATAAAACCGAAAAAACTCATTTTCAAATACCCCAATCAAATTCAAAACGAGCCTCTTTAATATAAGCTTGTATTTTTTACAACTTATACTTGTAAGTTATTATCTAGTTATGTGATTAGGGTTAATATCAAAACAAATGCATAAGGGATTATTTACATTTTAATTGGCTGTACACAGATTAGTACAACTTTGCTTGTGTATCCTCAGAAGTCCTATGAGCTAAGTGGCATCCATTGCATATTGGAAGTATCTTACACGGATCTGCATGTCAAATTCATATTATTCTCAGAGTTGTTTATATACACATATATAAGATTCCCTAATAAGAATAAAGTTAAATTTTTCCTTTAATTTGATACAGAATATGAGTGTAACAAAATGGTTGTTTGCAAATTAAAAACAAAATAATGAAATTAATTCACGCAAAGAGTTAGATGCTTCAATGATGTACGAACTAGACTGAACTAGGTTGTAGTTGCTTATAGGATAATGGCTTATCTAACGTGTCTTATTTACTTTGGCCCAAAACGTTTTCGCGGAAAGTTTTGATTTTTTGCACAAAGTATGACTCCAGTGCCTCTGCACATTTGTAGAAGGATGATTCTTTCGGGTTGTAGTAGCGGCAGTTGTCAAAGATTTTTGTCATATCGCCTATAAATTCGGCTAGCTTGGTATAGGCATTCGATTCGAGTTTACTTCCCATCTTTTTGAGATCTGTAATCAAAAATTGTTGTTACTATTTATCTAAATACCATACTCTCAGATGCCCTCCCACTTACCCATTGGCTCTTTAATTACTTTGTAGTAGTCGGGTGCTTCTTCCGGGTCAACCGGTTCCATGAATGGCCAAGCACTTTTATGCGACTGTAAGGAAAATGCATTTATGATCATGTTTCTTCAGTTGACCATCAAATAACTACCTGAATTTGCTTGATTAAAATCTTCAGCTCGTTAATATGATTGGGCGTCAGGGTTTTCATATTGGCAGCGTTGGCATCCGTCTTCCGCTGGCACCCCGGGCAGACGTACTCATCTATGAACTCGGCCTCGCTCTGCACGATCCCCACGCAACTTCCGTGGAACCAGTCCTGGCACTTGTCGCAGCATATGTAGAACTGCGATTCATCGTACGGCTGGCGACAGCTGCAGTAAAGCTGCTGGGTCTCCCTAGCCTTCTTGCAGTCAGCGCAAATGAACTCCGACAGCTTCTTCGAGGTCTCCTCGCTGATATTTACACATTCGCCGTGGAACCAGTTGCTGCACAGGTCGCAGCCCACGTAAAACCTTAAAACGAGATCGGAAACTTGAATATCTTAATCTGAACACCCTATTTGTAGACATACTTTGTGTCATCGTATGGCGTGCGGCAAACGCAGTATAGTTTCTCCTTCTTTCTTATCATTTTCTTGGGCCTGCCCACTCCATGCCTGCTGTTTTGAGCATTCGGTTCCGACCTAGGGATAGGGATTGGGTTATAGAAATGCAAGAAAAAACGGAAGTCACTAATAGGTACCTCTTCAATTCCGAGTTTGACTCGGAAAAGCTACGCTCATTTTCGCTGTGCTCGTCTAGCGAAGCCACGCTAACGGGACGAGCGTGACGCTGCACTTTGGTTTTCACCTCGTCGTGTATTTCGTTTTGGAGATTTCTCTCCAGCAGCGACCTCTTGCGCAAAATGGTCTTCTTGAGCATTTCCTTGTGGCGTTCCAACTGCGTTTGCTTGGGCTCTCCCAGGTCCGACACCTCTTCAGTCTGCCTGCGGGTTCTCTTGATGGTTCTATTGAACTGGCTGCTGGTGGTCATCGCGTTCGTACGTCGGGACGGAGCTCGAGCTTTCCATTCCGTGTCATCGTTCTGTAGGCGCGAGGTAGTGCGCCTGCGACGGGAGGTTCGGACGTCGTCGCTGGCACTTCCCCTGGAAGAGAGCTCCCAATCGTCCTGCTGGTCTTGTTGTTGCTTTCGCATGTTGACGAGCTTCTCCTCAAGTTCCGGACTGAGATTGCCCTGCTTGAGGGCGTTGTTGATAGCTGCGGGAGAATGAAAGTAATTAGCATTGAAAACACACACTGGAAGACGCTTGTGGTGTACGCTTACATTCTTGTATGTAGCCGCTGGTGACAACAAAGCCGTCGCCCTGCTTATCCTCCTCTAATCCTGCCTCTCCATCCGCCGGTGCGGACGCCGGTGCGTTATGATCTGCTGCCATTGACTCGTTGGGTTCTAGGCCCTCTAACAGGGGAGAGGTACCGACAGAAGGCTTGTGGTTAATGGGTATATTAGTTTTGTCAGTTTGTGCACTTTTACTATGCTCCTGCTCACTGCTGGCACTGTTTATTGAATTAATTCTAATGGTTGGACTGGCTTCGTATGTGGTTGTTAGCGCAGCGGCGTCGCTGTCGATGTTGGTCTGCAATGAACATCGTTTAAGGTCTTGACTTTCATATTCAGAGCGATGTTGTTCGTTAAGGTCTTGGTCTTGGTCTTGATCTTTAGCTAGAACTAGATTGCCGGATTTAAATCGGTTTGCTTGCTGTTTAGGTGGCTTACAACTAATGTTGGTGGAGTGGCTTGCTTGACTACCCTCCGTTTTCTCGGGAAGATCAGAGGATGATACGGGGGACAGGTCTGGGAGGGGAGGTGGAGGTGGGATAGCGGATGTGGATTTGGATTTGGAGGGGACTTGTGGCTTTGGGGGACTGCAGACGACAATAATTTCATCATCATCGTCCTCCTCCTCCTCCTCTACCTCCTCATCCTCCTCCTCCTCCTCCTCCACCTCCTCCTCGTCATAATCATAATCATCATCTTCATAATCATAATCATCATCATCGTCGTCGTTTTCCTCGTACTCATCATCTTGCTCATCATCTTCAAGATCTTGCGACTCACTGGGACTGGGATTCGCCATGCAGACCATGGGCACATCGCCACCGCCACCAACCTAATTGTTTCCAAAACGAAAACTCTGTTAAACTGTGATTCTAACCAGCAGAGGCATTAGATTTCGCTCACGAGTCAAGTGTATGTGTGGGTGGGAGGGATTACGAACAAGATAGCGTATAGATGTCGAGGGACACACCTACCTGACTTTAATCAGAGATCAGTTGAAGTATTTGTTCCAGGCAACCTTTTAAAGTGTGTTATCATAGTTGCGTAGATGTTGGAGAGTTGCGAGAGTTGGCGAAGAGATTAACCCCGAAGTGGTTGGGAGTTGTAGTTGAGTTGACACACGCGCGGCATTAAGGCATGGTTAGTCGGTTTTAGTTGGTAGTGGAAGCATGAGTTTATTTCAACGAGAGTTTAATTACAAAGATAGGAGAGTATTTAGACTGGTTTCAAAATCATAATTCAAACGGTGGCAGAACAGAGTCTAAGTATGCTGTGTAGTGGTTGAGTTGAGTTGAGGGTCGGTGGAGAGTCGTCGGTTAGTTCTGGGGCGTCTGGGTGTATGCGACATTCTGTGTGTTTGGAATTTCATTTCGATTTAGATGAGATGATTATAAAAATGGTTAAGCCTTTGTGTTCATTTCGAAGGACATGTCGTTGCGACTGACACTAACTGACACTGCGTTTCGTCCTTAACTCTGCCATTTAGTTGCCGGTTCTGTTTGGTTTTGGAAAACGAGACTTGCCCTCGTTTAATGTTCGTTAGTTCAATTATGTCAGCCAACTAAACTCTGGGTGCGGGTTAACTCTGCGGGTTAATCTCTTCAGCATCGGCATGTTTAGAGAGAATTTTGGTTTGGCTCGGTTTCAACTGATTTCTGATTAAAATCCACATAGCCTACATTCGGTTTTGGTTCTGGTTCTAAATCTGGTTGTGGGATTGCTTTTCTTGCACTGATTTACAAGTATGTTTCGTGGAGTTGTTCTCCTCGTAATTAATACACTAAAGCATGCGCTTTTTGTCAACACAAAGGCCAATTTGCAAATAATCATCCAACTAATTCAGAAACAAAAGTTCACAAATAACATTTCTAACGAGAGTTCGAGAGGGAGGTGGGTGGTCACAAGTAGTGGGGTCGGGTCACTGGTTACATACATATGTACAAGAGCGTATTATAGTGTTCTTGGACCTGACACCCTGACACGCCTTCTCGAGAATCTTTGCTCAGTTTGTGTGAGTGTACATGATCTGGAATTATTTAAGGCAAGAAAGTAAATAATCGAGTCAAGTTCAAGTCAGTGTCGATGATTGTGAATAGTATCATGCTCTCTACGCTCTCCTAGACATTCTTTCTTGCGTTAAAGTGCGATTCCAGAAGTTCGGCTGTTGGGGAAGGTCTACTCCGAGTGGCAGTTACTCGGAACTCGGAACAAGCAGAAGCTTCGACACGTCTCATGCTCACGGAATCGATCTCACGGATTGAAAATGTTTTGTTTTTTCATTGGTTTTCATTACGGTTTACATTTTTTATTGGAAAAGAAACAGAGCTGGTCGCAATTATTCGGTTTGCATAATAGGTGTTTTATTGCAAAAAGCGCTTTACATTTTAAGAGTAACATAATTATTATTAGAAACCAAGTGTCTCCAGGCAAGAAATCTAATCGCAGCAGCGTACTCTAATACTTTTGCCTTGGGGCGCAACATTGGTGACAGTCTGGATGGTTGTGGGTCAATATATCTGCTCTACTACATCTACTGTTGGTTACTTATACATTACTAAGGTATTCACATTGTTTAAGCTAATACATTGGTTGTACATACTCGTACCTAAAGCTAAGTAGACCGAATAAATATGCCGTATGTGTAGGTAGGTAATTAACTAAGGGGTACAATAGGTGTCTTGCACGGTACTCCGTGGCCGGGGAATTGGTTGACGAATAATTATGTTGCAAAAGTAAGCCTTGGTTATCAATATGCACTGAATCTTTCTATCTTTCGTTCTTAGCTTACAGTTATTTCTAGGAATGTTGTATTCACATCAAGAAACGCATTGTTTAATATTTAAGAGTGCCGGAGTAAAAGTTAAAACAAACAAACGATAAGTACGGAACAAAACTTAAAAAAAGTGCAAGTAAAGCAACATGCCTCTCTGGTCGATTGGTATCGTAATCGGTATCGGTATCGGTAGTGGTAGTAATAGTGGTCTCCAAATCAGAATAAATTAATAATAACTTAGGTGTAAGATATATATATAAAAATAAAAACACTTCGGTTGGCGTTTCGGCTGAAAGTCGGTTGAAAAGCAAGTGCAATTCCGAAGGCCTCGTCTCTAGCTTCCCTACTCGGTTCGGTTCGCCGCATAATTTACAATTAAAAACTACTCACTTGTTGGTGCGTAGCCGATTGGTGGACTGGGGTGAGCGGGGGTGGTTGCGACTGGTTGCTGGTTTCCGGCTGCACGGCCAGGTATATCTTGGTGGGCCCCAAAACGCCCAGCTTGCCGTTTGACTCTTGGGCTGAAACGGAAGGAACTCGTCAGTTGAATGCCGAAACCCAGAAAAGGAGCCACTTACCTTTCATCAACTGCTGCTTCACCTGGGTCTGCACCAGCTGCAGCTGCTGCGCGGTGAAGTCGTTGCCCACCAGACCCTGCAGGACGATGCGGGGCCCGTGCTCCGTCTGCAACACCTGGGCGGTGACGCACTTTATGACTGTTCCGGGCGGCTGGTTCTGCAACAGGCTCTCCTCCACACTCATGGCCGGCGTCTGCCCGGTGACAGCCTGCGCCACGACGGACGAGCTGCCACAGTCGAAGTTCGTGGCCGCCGGCTGGGCGATCTGCTGCTGCTGGATGACCACCTGCTGCTGCGGGCTCTGGGCGGTGAGGGTCTGCTGCTGCTTGACGGGCGAGCTCTGGGGACTGGCCTGGGGGGCGGCGTTGTTGGTCACAATGTGGGCGTTGCCGTCGCCCTGGTGCTTGATGTGCGCCACAATCTGCGCCTGGTTGTTGCCCAGCGGCTTCACAATGACCTGCTGGCCATTGACGGTGGCTACCTGCAGCTTTCCCTGCGCCAGCTGCTGGGCCAGAGTCGAGTTCGGCACAAGCACCTGCTGCATGGCGGTCTCCCCCGCCTCGCCACTGCTATTGACCTGCGCCTTCTCCTCCACCGCCGCCTGCACGGGCTGCTGCTGCACCACCAGCTGCTTCACCAACTTGGTCTGGGTGCTGGGCGAGGACACAACCTGATTCGTTTGGACAACAAACTGCTGCTGGGGCTGCGCAACCTGCTGCTGCTGTTGGGTTTGAATCTGCTGCTGGACCATTTGGAGGGCTTGACTCTGCGGCACATTCCGCTGGGTGACTATTGTCTGGCCAGGGCTTAGGATAATCCGCTGCCCGCCCAGCACTATCTGTTGTTGTACGTTACTGGTGTTGACGATCTGTTGAATTACCTTTTGTGTTGGTTGAGCCCCTACCTGGTTGACTGAGATCTGTTGGGTCTGCTGCTGGGGCGACTGCTGGACAGGCTGCGACAGGACTTGCGTCTGCACAATCTGCTGCTGCTGCTGTTGCACCGGCGACGCCCCCTGCTGCTGCGCCGACGAGGTGGAGATGATCACCTTCTGTCCCTGCGCGTTCTGGCCCACCACCAGCTTGGAGCCGGACTGCACGAACACCTGCTGCAGGTTCTGGCCCGGCGTCGCGCTCACCACCTTGGACACTATCTTCTGCACGCCCGGCGACGACGTGGTGGCCGTCGATGAGGATGCCTGTTGCTGCTGTTGGGCCAGCAACAACTTGTTTTTGATTTGTGCGATCGGCAACGCCACTCGTTGCGACGTCGCTATTGCCTGAGCCCCGGGGGTCTTGGCCACGTGCTTCACAGCAATCTGCTTGATCACAGGAGTTCCAGCTGCCGAAGTCGACGCAGGAGCGCCGGTCACCGATGGCGACGACGTCGCGGACACCGTCTTGATGACCTTGTTGACTTTGTTTCCTGAAATTAGAGATGAGTGATGTACTTCAGCCGTGAGACGGGCTTTAAGTCAACTAACCTGGTGTGTTTGCATTGGACGCGGGAGTGGTGGTCAGCACGTGCAGCTTACCGTCCGGCATCTGGACCAACTGCTGCCCGGGATTGAGGCCACGCACGCTCACCTTGCCATCCGGCCCCCGTATGATCTGCACCTTATGGGGAGTAGAAGACGGATTGGCCTGAGAGCTGGATGTGTTGGAAGCAGAGGGCGAAGACGCTGCTGTAGTGGCTGAGTTTCCCGCCGCCGAAGATCGCGCCACTTGCGTCACCGCCTGCTGGATGATCCGCGTCGTGCCGTCCGGATTCTTGACTATTACACGCCGGCTGCCGATGACTTGCCCCTTGACTGAAAAGGATTCGGTTAGACTGGTCTGATTGGAAAGGCATCCTCGCATGCACCCACCTGGAGTTACCGAACGAGCAATGTCGCCCGCACCGACCACCTTGCGCTGCTGGTGCACGGCCCGTTGCAGCTTGAGCTGCTGCTCCATCTTTTCCTTGACGTCTTCGCTGGTCTTTGGTGCCAGCTGGATGCGCCCGCCCACTCCGATTGTAGTGCCGTTGGCGGAAGTTCCCGCCAGGTTGCTGCCGCCACTGGCCTCCAGTTGGCGGGATGCGACCGACCGCGTCACGGTCGACAGGCGCGCCTTCTCCTGCTTCTCTCCCATGAACTTGATCTCCCACAGCTCCAGCTTGTCCTCCTCGACCCATTCTTCACTGATCTGGGGCTCGGTCGGCTGGGGCGACTCGGCCCGCTTCCGCTTCCGCAAGCCAGAGCGGATCGATGTGACTTCTGCAAACATAGTGGGGATCATGTCAATAAAGAATTCCAGCTGTGACATATTCCTTCAGGACTACTTACCTCGTATGGTTTTTGGCATTTCGAGTGGAATGACAACCTTTCGCCGTAGGTAGCTCGTCTTCTCGCCGTAGCGCCCAGCGTGGCGGAGCTTCAGCAGCTCCAGCGTTACGATCTCCGTGTCCGTCGTCACCTGATGCTTGCCATCTGTGGACGGGGGCTTCGCGATCATGTCGTCCCAGCGCAGGCACGACCACAAGATGCGCAGCTGCAGGGCCAGGCTGGCGAGGGTGGTGGCATTGGACGTGCGGTAGGACCAGCAGGTGCGGAAGAGCGGACGCGAGCACTGATACTGCCAAATGGAGTTGTTCTTGGCCCCATGGTGGAAGCCGTTTGCCGTCGACTTCCCGCCGAGGCGCGCCAGCTTCAACAACTCGTAGCGCGGCAGGACCAGGAGGCTGCGCTTCTTCTTGTGAGTCAGGAAATTCGAGATGAGGGGATACCGCGAGTAGGAGGGTTTCTTGGCAATGGGTGTGGACTTGTCCTCGCTCTTGACGGCCTGCTCGTACAGCTTGGCCGAGTCGCTGATGAGGTAAACGCGGCCACTCGCCGACTTCGTGGAGTACACGCGCTCCGTTCCGTTTTCGAAGTACTCCCGCTCGTACTTCTTGACAGGCTCACGCTTTATCGGCCGTGCGTTTATGGGGAACCGGCGGTTCTGCTTGTTCAGTGGAATATCCTTGTCCAGGGTCTGATCCAGAACATCCTTGGTGCCGATATAGGCCTTCTTGGACTTCTGGTTGCGCTTTCGCCGCCATCCTGGGGCCGTGTCCGCGTCCTCGGCGTTGGCACTGGCCGCATTCAGCCCCGCCACTATTGAGTCTTCGGTGCTCTCGATCTCCACGTTGCTGCACACGTCCATGCTCTCGATGAAGTCCATCTTGTCCGAGTCCTGCGTGTTGGAGTCGGCCGGGGTGGCGCTGCTTCCGGTACTAGGATCGTCTTCCTCTTTGATCTTCGGGTTGCCGGCGGCGTCCGTTTCCAGCTGCAGGCACTCGCTCAGGAACAGGTCACTGAAGGTGACGGCATGCGCTCGAGCCTGCTCCCAATCTTGCAGCAAATCAAGCGGCGTTTCGGACTCCGGGGCCTTCCCGTCCTCTGATTCATCCGCCGATATCTGGGTGCTTTCCCTCTTGCCCTCGGTGAGTTTCTGCTCCAAGATCGAGGGCTTCTTGACGGCGCCCAGAATCGCGGCGACAGTCTCCTTCGATCCGTTGCCCGCGGTGTGCGCCTTGCGCAGCAGCAGGAGGAGCTCCTTCTTGGCCCTGGCCTTCTGGAGGCACAGCGGCGAGTAGCAAGTGTTCTGGGTGATCTGAGAGACGGCATTCGAGTTGGTGTTGCACTCCTTCGTGTAGCAGCGGAAGGTCTTCGCGAAGCGGTTGAGCTGGCTGAACTGCAGCCGCACTGTTTGGATTTGCTTGGCCAGCGAGTTTACGAGCTCCAGGTTCACGTTGGCCGGACCTCCCTTGGCGGCGGCTTCGGTGAGGCGCAGCAGGCGCTTCTCCAAGTAAGTCTGGCTGCTGCTGGCCGGACTCGGGGCGGCAATCACCAACGGCTTAACGTCTGCCGCCACTTTACTGGCTATCTGCTCCTCGACCTCGGCCAGCTTCACGCGCCGCTCCAATAGGTCGTCCAGCCTACTCTTACGCGCCACCTTGGGATAGTATATGCGGCCGGGAGTGGTGAGGGCCTTGCTCACATCGATGTGGCCCTTGACCTTGTCCTTGACGTCCTCGATGACCTTGACGTTGGTGTACTGCTCCGGTAAGTAGTGGCACACCTGGCCGTCGACGTTGCTCGTCTCGCACTGCTGCATGAACAGCTGGGTGCGAGGGTCCACTAGCACGATCTCGTTAACGGTCGTCTCCTCCGTCCCCATGGTGTAGTGGACGTATATTCGGTTGTGGGTCAGGGGCTGGGCCCGACGGGCACGCACTCCGCAGCGGCGGCTGCTCGAGAGCCAGAGCCATCCCCACTGGCCGTGCACCCGGTACTCCTCTCCCTTCTGCTTCCACACCTGGTGCTTCAGGCCCAGCGAGTATTTGATGTAGTTGAAGGCCAGGCGGTTCCGCTCCTCCTCATCGTCGCGTTCGCGCTTCTCACGCTTCTCCAGCTTCTTGCGCTCCTCCCGCTCAGCACTGGTGATGCGCTGCAGGCTCGTGTGGCCCAGTTGCTCGTGCCAGACGTTGGCGAAGACCACGCTCTTGAGAGACGCCTGGAAGAGCATCAGCACGGCGGCGAAGTCGGGGGCTCGCCGGGCGTTCATTACGGCCGCATTCCAGACCTTCTTGTTTATCACCCAGTTGGGGTTCAAGAAGGAGGCCGCGATGTTGGACTCGAAGTTTATCAGAGTCTGTCTGAGGGTCGTTATCATGTTCTCCGTCGACCCCATGGTTACGCCGATCCACTTGAAGTCCGAGGCGGTGGTCAGTGAGAACTTGTGGGAGAGATGGCGGCGCTTGTCCCGCTCCTCGTTGCGCTGCGGCTTGTTGAGGGCTATGGTGTTGGCCGAATACTGGTTAACATAGTTCTTGAACCCCTGCTCCATGCCCAGCTTGAAGTACAGCGTGCCGTTGTTCATCTGAGTGGTCTTCTGGCGCGTCACCATCTTCGTCTCCTCGGTCTTCTTGGCGGCCTCTTCGGACTTGGCTTCCTCATCATCTGCCGCGCCGGCAGAGTCCTTCTCCAGTATTTCGTTCGTAGCCTCTTGTTCCAGTTCGATTATGCTTCGCTTAGAGTGCTTGTGCTCGTTGGTCAGGGTCTCGGTCAGCTTCATTTGGCGCTCGATCTCCTCCTGGCGCTCGCATATTTGGCCATGCAGCCGAGTCTCCAGTTCTTCGGCGTCCAAGCGCTTGAGCAGCAGCTTCAACTTGCTCGTTGTGCTGTAATACCAGCAGGTGCAGTCCGTCTGATCTTCGACAAAGATGCGGCGGGCAATGAACCAATATCGCCGTCCATGGCGGTCGACGCCCAGGCTGTCGTGCCGGATGAGAACGCCTTGCTTCTCCTGCGGCAACACGCAGTCCACCACCCCAGTGACTTTGTGGGACCTGCACAGTCCGCACTGCCAGTCCTCAGTGGGCACATCGTTCATGGGGGGGTCGACGCATTCCAGGTGGTACACGGCAGGACAGGTTTCGCAGCACAGCAGGTCCCCCAGGCGGTGACAGACCCGGCAATGGTCATCGTAGTGTATTGGCCCCTCCTGGAGCATTACGTCGCGTACCGAGTTGGCAGTCAGGAACTGATCTGCCAAGAACTGGAGCACCTCAAGGCGGTTCTCAACGCTGGTGTATGGGTACTCTGTCCGACTTAGAATGTGGTACACGTTGCGGTCAAACGATTTGTCGCTCTCCACGTAGCTGCGCAGCACTTCCGGCCACGTTATGGCGTCAATAAGATACAGACTGATATTGACGGTGTCCTTTTGATCCAGAGGCCCGAAGTGGGTGCCCTGCGCATCCTCCTCGCGCAGGATCGCCTTCAATAGCATGATGTGCACGTCGGTCAGCAGGGCACTTTGCTCGTCGCAGGCCAGGGCCGCTGCAAAGTCCTCGAACCGAAACGGCGACAGTCGCACGAGGTGCCGGAAGCGACGCAGCACTTCATAAATACTGAGGGCGCGCAGGACTTGAGTATTTGGCAAGGACAGATCCTCGGACGAGTCGGGAAGGTCGAGCGCCGCGTATTGCCGCCCTTCCTGCAGCCACACAGGGTCTGGGCTGGGCGGGCGCGACGGGCGACCGACTCCGTTCTGGTTGAAGCTGCATACAGAGAACTCGGACTCGCTTTCATTGGCGCCGTCCAAGCTCTCGTCATCGCTGGGGGTGAGTAGCATATCATCCTCATTGTCCGACTTCTCCTCGTCCGAGTCTCCGAAATCAGAGCCGTAGTGATATTCAGATTCGAAGCCTGCGAAGAACCATACATTAGTTATCAGTTATTAAAGCATATATTGACGGTTGTACTTGACTCTTACAAATACTATCTTGTACTGTCCAATTAAAAAACATGCTAACACCCTAGCTAACCGGCATTTTATACCCGGCAACACTCACCTTTCCTGGCAGAGTAACTGCTGGTGTTGGCCTGAACATTGGATTTGCGACCGCGTCCCCGCTTGGAGGCGGCGCTGCCCCGACTGCTGCGGTTGTGATTGTTGTGGCTGCTCCGGCTGCCCTCGTCGCTCTGGGGGGAGATGCCGCGGGAAGCAGACGGGGTGCTGGGCTGCGACTTTCCCTCGCTGAGATACTTCGGTTTCTTGAGGAGCTTGTAGTCGAAGCGCCCGGACGTCCGCTCGTTGGGCGTCTTTGGCGGGCGACCGCGCTTGCGGCTGCCGCGTCCACTCATTTTTTTGTTGCTGGCTGCTGGGGTTCTGGCTGCAGATCCCGATCCCGGTCCCGGATAGTGCCTAACACACGCACAAACTCAACTACTGATGGCCTGGGGCGGGGGGTTGGCGTCTGTGTTTTCTCAGATGTGGTGGTTCTTCCGTTTTATCGCTTCGGAGCTGGACGTTGAATCTAAAACGAGAATTAGTTCGTTTAGCATTTTATGTTATTGCTGCAGTTTGTGTTTCTGTTTCTGTTTTCATTTTTGGCCACTGCTCACTGGCACCCACACCACATGCAAACATACACACATTCAGCCACTCTCATGTACAGGGAAAAAATCGATCAGGGGCACTCGCAGCACTTAATTGTGGGCAGTTTTCCCGTTTGTTTCCGCGGCCCCGGTAGCGGGTGGGACGGGATAATTACACATTGTTCACGATGCTAACCCGCCAAAATGAGCAGATCCCGAATGGTTCTTTTTAAATATATTAAAAGTACGCATGTATTTTCAAACACAATCGCAGGCTATGTTGTAAATGCTGGACAGCAGCAGCACCACCGAAGTGCGCTTGTAGTGTGCGTGCGCGAGAAGCCAACGCACATTGTCCGCCATTGAAGGCGCCGTGAAAATTTCTGCAGCTGCGAATTCGCAGTGGGATCTAGTCACTATTAACACAAAACTCCACCGCACACTTTACCCCGCATAGTGAGGAACCAATGTAGCAAGTTTAACACAATTTATTAACTATTTTTAACTGCCTTCTGCAAACTGCGAGAGCCGAGCCACTTTTACCTAACATTTCAGTTCTGAACAGGATGGATGGTACAGTCAGCCAATCACAGCGAGTCTTTTAACTCGTAATGTCGCAGGCGACCTCTGGCGGTCGGCAAAGGCTATTTGTGCAATTGAAAATAAAATTTATCGAGATTCAGGTATCGTTTCGTTTTGAACGATAGCTGGTAACACTATTTGTTTTTGAACCTGGTTGATACAGGAACTGATTTTTTAAATTGCGCGCGCAATTTCCTTTTTTTTTAAGATAAAAAATAAAAATAAATTTTTTTAAGGACTGGTTTAATTTTTATATTACTTATAAATAAAGGTAAACTTCCGAAAAGCACACACCTCAGATTTGGTTAAAACTTCCAGGATATGTATTTTGGGATGCTGATTCCGGGAAAAATATGGGTGCACGACGTTTTCTGTGAAAAAACTGTCAAAAACCTATTGGCATGGTTTTTTGCTAATATTGCATTAAATATACACTGTTTTGATAGCACATTGAATTTAAATAATATCCTATTGAAAAACACACAAATCAAAACTATACATTGGTATGGAAAACCAACTTTGGCTGAGATAAATACCTTCTAATTTAACAGTTTTAAGTTCAATTACTTTTACTTGGAAACTAACAATCTAATATCGATATATCGAATAGTGATGTGTATTCTGTCTATATATATATATAGAGATGGGCCTTGTCTTAATATAGAAACACATTTGAAAAATCAAACTTAAAAGTAAAATGTGAATAAAAACATTTAAGAAAACATCAGTAAAACACTTATTTTATTGACGAATGGCAAACTATTAAATAAAAAAAAACGGCTCTTTTCTCAATGCACTTTAACTTTTTCATCGTTATGCGATATATAATTTTACAGCATTACCTAACATTCTAATTGGGTAAGATTATCTTTTTTTTGTAGAAACACCTAAAGAATATGAAAGCTATGCTTTTTTAGTATTTACTGCAGTTAATATAAAAATATTCAAATATATCATCAAAATAAAAATGAAACAGATTTTACCGTTTTTTCCTGGCGCGTCATTTTGGGGTATTTTTGCTATTGGTCCCGGAATTGGTCTCTCAAAATACTTCAATCCGAAAGGTTATAGACAAATCATGGGTGGTAGTTTTTCAGAACTTTATACAAAAATACAACTTAAATTAAATTATTTGAAATGAACCTGTCAGACAAAACTCTCTGTAGCCCTGTTTAAATCTAATCTTATCAACTCGCGATAACGACTCTTTGGCGAAATACAGTGTTTTTATTCGCCAGTATTATTTTATTGATCAACCCAAGCGGTTGCATTTTATTTGATTCTTCGACAAGTGAACTTACATTTTTCCCATGTGCGTACACACGTAATCGGTATTTTAAGGAAACCCACTGTCCCTTGATAACTTTTTAATTCATGGAAAAATGCTTACCCTTCTCGTGTTAACCGTTATCTATCTGCCAGTGCTGGTGCTTATTCATGGAATTTTTAAGAAATTCGTCACAATTTAAGTTGCGGACGGTTTTGAGTTGTTAAAATAATAATCCCCAGTGTTCATCATAACCAATCGATGGAATGTGAAAATAATTGTTACCTGCACGCTTACACATCCACCTGACGTCATGTGTGTGATTATTGTCCAAGAATAGGGCAGGAGATAGCTCCCGCCCGATAAGATAAAAGCCTATTTGGGTGGTAATAAAGCCAAACGTTCATAAAAATCTTTGTTTACATACTTAATGCGTTCTCAAAAACTCAGTACTTGGAACAATATATTTAAAATCAAATCGCTGTTCATGGGCCCTAATTTTTGCTGAGATTATAAAGAATACTATGGTTAAAAAAGTACATTTTAAAGTATTCTTTTTATGATTTTAGTGCTCAAGAATCGGTTGACTTTTGCCAAAAATAATTGTGTTATGACAGTTCTATGGAAAAAATATCTAACAACTATGTATTATATGTCTAGATTTTGATGCAGATTTATGAAGAATCGTTGTACGAATCGTTTAAGGTATTCCGCTCAAGAATCGGATGAATATTGGCAAAGATATAGACTACACTATGGGCCATATAGGGGATCCATGCATTTTTGAAGGGCACCCTTTAGAAAATTTGACAAAAAATCTAAAAATTTATTTGTTTCTAGATTTTAATGCAGATTTACGTAGAATCGTTGTACGAATCGTTTAAGGTATTCCGCTCAAGAATCGGATGAATATTGGCAAAGATATAGACTACACTATGGGCCATATAGGGGATCCATGCATTTTTGAAGGGGACCCTCCAGAAAATTTGACAAAAAATCTAAAAATTTATTTGTTTCTAGATTTTAATACAGATTTATGTAGAATCGTTGTACGAATCGTTTAAGGTATTCCGCTCAAGAATCGGATGAATATTTGCAAAGATATAGCTCACACCATATAGGGGATCCATGCATTTTTAAAGGGGACCCTCTAGAAAAAATGACAAAAAATCTTAAAATTTATTTGTTTCTAGATTTTAATGCAGATTTATGTAGAATCGTTGTACGAATCGTTTAAGGTATTCCGCTCAAGAATTGGATGAATATTGACAAAGATATAGACTACACTATGGGCCATATAGGCGATCCATGCATTTTTGAAGGGGACCCTCTAGAAAATTTGACAAAAAATCTAAAAATTTATTTGTTTCTAGATTTTAATGCAGATTTATGTAGAATCGTTGTACGAATCGTTTAAGGTATTCCGCTCAAGAATCGGATGAATATTGGCAAAGATATAGACTACACTATGGGCCATATAGGGGATCCATGCATTTTTGAAGGGGACCCTCCAGAAAATTTGACAAAAAATCTAAAAATTTATTTGTTTCTAGATTTTAATGCAGATTTATGTAGAATCGTTGTACGAATCGTTTAAGGTATTCCGCTCAAGAATCGGATGAATATTTGCAAAGATATAGCTCACACTATGGGCCATATAGGGGATCCATGCATTTTTGAAGGGGACCCTCCAGAAAATTTGACAAAAAATCTAAAAATTTATTTGTTTCTAGATTTTAATGCAGATTTATGTAGAGTCGTTGTACGAATCGTTTAAGGTATTCCGCTCAAGAATCGGATGAATATTGGCAAAGATATAGCTCACACTATGGGCCATATAGGGGATCCATGCATTTTTGAAGGGGACCCTCCAGAAAATTTGACAAAAAATCTAAAAATTTATTTGTTTTGAGTTTTTGATGCAGATTTATGTAGAATCGTTGTACAAATCGTTTAAGGTATTCCGCTCAAGAATCGGATGAATATTTGCAAAGATATAGCTCACACTATGGGCCATATAGGGGATCCATGCATTTTTGAAGGGGACCCTCCAGAAAATTTGACAAAAAATCTAAAAATTTATTTGTTTCTAGATTTTAATACAGATTTATGTAGAATCGTTGTACGAATCGTTTAAGGTATTCCGCTCAAGAATCGGATGAATATTTGCAAAGATATAGCTCACACCATATAGGGGATCCATGCATTTTTAAAGGGGACCCTCTAGAAAAAATGACAAAAAATCTTAAAATTTATTTGTTTCTAGATTTTAATGCAGATTTATGTAGAATCGTTGTACGAATCGTTTAAGGTATTCCGCTCAAGAATCGGATGAATATTTGCAAAGATATAGCTCACACTATGGGCCATTTAGGGGATCCATGCGTTTTTGAAGGGGACCCTCTAGAAAAAATGACAAAAAATCTTAAAATTTATTTGTTTCTAGATTTTAATGCAGATTTATGTAGAATCGTTGTACGAATCGTTTAAGGTATTCCGCTCAAGAATTGGATGAATATTGACAAAGATATAGACTACACTATGGGCCATATAGGGGATCCATGCATTTTTGAAGGGGACCCTCCAGAAAATTTGACAAAAAATCTTAAAATTTATTTGTTTCTAGATTTTAATGCAGATTTATGTAGAATCGTTGTACGAATCGTTTAAGGTATTCCGCTCAAGAATCGGATGAATATTGGCAAAGATATAGCTCACACTATGGGCCATTTAGGGGATCCATGCGTTTTTGAAGGGGACCCTCTAGAAAAAATGACAAAAAATCTTAAAATTTATTTGTTTCTAGATTTTAATGCAGATTTATGTAGAATCATTGTACGAATCGTTTAAGGTATTCCGCTCAAGAATTGGATGAATATTGACAAAGATATAGACTACACTATGGGCCATATAGGGGATCCATGCATTTTTGAAGGGGACCCTCCAGAAAATTTGACAAAAAATCTTAAAATTTATTTGTTTCTAGATTTTAATGCAGATTTATGTAGAATCGTTGTACGAATCGTTTAAGGTATTCCGCTCATGAATCGGATGAATAATGGAAAAGATATAGACTACACTATGGACGATATAGGGGATCCATGCATTTTTGAAGGGGACCCTCTAGAAAAAATGACAAAAAATCTAAAAATTTATTTGTTTCTAGATTTTAATGCAGATTTATGTAGAATCGTTGTACGAATCGTTTAAGGTATTCCGCTCAAGAATCGGATGAATATTTGCAAAGATATAGCTCACACTATGGGCCATATAGGGGATCCATGCATTTTTGAAGGGGACCCTCCAGAAAATTTGACAAAAAATCTAAAAATTTATTTTTTTCTAGATTTTGATGCAGATTTATGTAGAATCGATGTACGAATCGTTTACGGTATTCCGCTTAAGAATCGGATGAATATTGGCAAAGATATAGCTCACACTATGGGCCATATAGGGGATCCAGGCATTTTTGAAGGGGACCCTTTAGATAATCAAGAAACTTTACAATCATAGTTTACCAAGCTCCTACGCTTTCTTTCAGACTAGTTTTAAGAACACTATAAACATGGAGCTACGTTATTGGGAAATATTTTTCGTGCTGATCTATTTGAAGGCCTATTCCAATGCTTTGGCCCAAGTAACCAATCTTACCGAAATAAATTCATCAAGGTAAGAATTCAAGACTGAATATTATCAATATATTAAGCTCTATAAAAATATCTTCAAGTAGCAGCGCGGAGCAGTTAATAAATCAAACGTTATCGGAGTCCCCTCTACCAATATCTTCGGCAACGGATCCCACGACAGAATCAACAATCGCTAGTAGTAGTCTGCGGCCATCAGGCGCACCTGATTTGAATTCTTTGCAGAAACAATCTCAGCCTGAAGACTGCTCCCAGCGTGAAAAATATAGGCTTCAGCCAGTGGCCAGGGAATCGTCCCGTTTGCGAAAATGCTGCCCCATTGGCGAGAATCTGGATATTTACAGAGAGAATCAGAGTGATTCCATGTGCGATAACGAGGTGGTTAAATTCGAGCCCACTATAATTAGTGCTGTGTTGTTTGATAACTGCATTGAGGATCTGGAGATACCGACTACGCTGTCGTACGATATCGGAAACCCCTGCAACAGGTACGTGGAATCAGAAAGGCTGTTAAAATTAATATAAATAGTTCTTCGTGTCCAGCTCCCTTCTCTACGAGGGTGGTGAGGATGTGTTCTTTGTGCTCCAAGATGGATCCCTGTTAATCATCGACAAGTTCGGAAACGATTCGTATACGGTGGAGAAAAACTACTGCCTGGATATTGACAAATCGGGGCAGTTGTTCGCTTTTACTTGCATTACCCAGGTTGAGGACAAGATTGCATTCGCGAAGGTATTAATTTCAGACTCTTATCCATATCTTATGCTATATTCAATTCTATTTCAGGTGCTCTTTGTGGCCGTGTTGATGCTAATATCCATGCCATGCCTGCTGCTGGTCAGTTACTTGCACCTGTCCCTGAAGCTGTTGCGAAACTTGCACGGGCTCTCACTGAGTCTGATGTCCATGTGCTTGGCGTCGGGATACTTTGTGCACTCGGTGGTGCACATCTACTCTGTCCCCAACACAGGGATCATAGGCTACGTTATCCAGTTTTTCATCCTCAGCTATTTCTTCTGGTACTTTGTGGTGTGCTTTAACGTCCTCCTGAATGTGTGGTACAAGCTTCCCTGCCGCGTCCAGCTGTCCAAGTCCTGGGCCACCTTTAACTTTGCGTGTTACTGCTTCTTCGCCATTGCCGGACCCTCTTCCATAGTGGCGCTCACGGTCCAAAAAGGGCTGCCAGGCATGCCCTCGTACTTCCTGCAGGGACTCACAGAGTCCATACGTGACTCGCAGCGCTACTTTATACCTCCAGTTTCCACCATACTGTTCCTCAGCTTTTTGGTAAATGTGCATCCTTGACTTCTACCTGTGAAAGTATCTAAACGATTATTCCATTCCCAGATTAACATATTGTCCTTCTTCGGTTTTCAACGCGTGAAAGGCTACGAACTGGCAGAAAAGAAGGACCAAGGACAGGACCCAGTCCAGAATAGCATAGCGTTTGACCAACAGAAGTTCGAAGACGTCAAAAAGGAGTAAGATTCTGTTCTTCTGTTCAAGCCAAGTACAGTATTATAATCCCAATCTTTCTCGCCACCAACAGTGCCAAGTGCGTCTGTCTTCTGGGAATAATCCTCATCATAAGCTGGCTCCTGGAAATAGTCACTTTCTACTCGAACTCCAACTCCAATTACCTCCTCCTCTGCGACATGGTGAACGGTCTTCAAGGAGTTTGGGTGCTGCTCATCTTCTTGGTGGTGCGAAGACGCCGCACCATAATAATGCGGTGGTGGCGTGATCGGGGCTCCCACGAAATTAATGAAACCGAGATGCAAGAGCTACGTAAAGATAAAAATCCCACGTAGACCTGTAATGCCCATTCGATTCCTTGCTTAGCAAGCTTACATTCCAAAGAGAATAAACATAAAAATTTTGGATATAGTATACCCTCTTCAACCATCATTTAATTAGAATAGAGACCCCAATCCCAAACAAGTTGGCATGGCTTTTTATATATGCATATAAATGGTTGTTTATTTAGACTTATGTATATAATTACTAAATGTTTGTTGTCACTTTTATGGTCATATAAAGTTAAATAGTCCGTTAATTGTTAGAATGATTTACCAACTAGGCTAGTACGCTAATATTCCTAAGGGAAATGTGTAATTACTTGGGCGGTGTGAACCAAAATGAGCCTGCTTTTCGTATGTTCTTTGCTAGTAAAATGCTGTTAATGTTTACGCGGTTTTGTTTAAATTAGATAAGGAGAAAATGGGTTTGCCTCGTTTTCGTCTACGTAGTGGCGGTATCATAAGAATGGTTGTGTATTTACATGTTATATGCTACGTATATGGGATCCAATTGGTCGGCCAGAAAGCCGTCCCGTAAATGCATCCGTTGCTTTTCGCCACGGCTATTAATAGGCACCACACCTGAGAATGAAATAATAAAAGTTAGTCACCTGAAAACTTAAACATTTAGCCTCAACAAACCAGGATCAACAACCACAACAACGCCAACAATAAGCTGATGATCTTCTAATACTGTGTTTGTGACCAAGGGTACCAAATCCAAAGCTTCCGATTCATTGCCATCTAGCTCCACGACCACTACCAACAGATTAGTCCAAGTGAAAACGGCGCTGAAAAATTCAACGTTTAAACAATAGTCTTAGGAGGAACAATAAGTGTAGGGACGACATACCACTCGGCTATTTTCTTGTGACAGCGCATTACAGAATTTTCGATATCAATCGGATGATAGTTCATGCCACGCAAGGAGATCACTTCGTCGACGGCACCGACGACGTAAACAGCATCATGTAGTTCCTGATCGTTTGAGTTGGCTGCACTGCCCATCAGGCCGTGCTCCGAATTTCCACCCAACGAAGCATTCGAGAAGTTCAATTGTAGCTGACTAATGGAGTTCAACGATTCGGAATCACTGTCGCGACTAGCCACACTTGGTGTGGTTTCGTCTAGCAAGGAGGCAGCTTGAGAGCATTCAGTGCGACGCAGGAATCCCAAGTAGCCAGTGCGTGCATAAATCTCAGAGGTAGCCCCAGTCACCAATTTAGCGTTGAAGTGATCATTGTAGTCAGTTTCATCCCCGTAAATGGTAAAGTATCCATTGGCATTATGCGGAGCTTGTACCTGTACAAAAAATAAATCCATTTAGAAAAGTTGTAGCCTAGCTAGGAATCGAATTACTTACCCAAATCTCGCCCAAGTGCGAGTCGCCACAATGACCCTTGGTGTCGGGATTAGCAATTATAACCTTGACGCCGGGCAGTAGTTTTCCTGACTCAATGAGGCAAAGGGAATTGGGTGCGCCCCGCTCCACCAGAGCTACGCGGTTGTTTCGCAGTGCTCTCATGTCCACGTACACCTGGGCACTTTCCGCCGAGCTGGCTCCTTGCACACAAATAGCTGGATTCACCCGACACCCGAACGAAGTGGAGACACAGCGAGTGTTTAGCCCCAGGGCCTGGAACAGTTTGCAGAACTGCTGGGTCAGCTGAACCCTTGGCCGCTCTTCGGCCACCACGACACAGGTGCGTACGCAGCGCAGATCTATATTGCGCTGCTTAAGAGAGGGTATGGAATTGCTAAGAGCCTTTGTGCACAACTCGATGACGCCGTACGAGCAGAAGGTGTCGCGGACACGGTGCTGCGATAAGGTTGACAGCCACAGACTGGGATTGGACTCCACTTCGTAGGGTGCAATCAGAATCGAGTGGTGGCCACTGTAGACTCCGATCAGGGTCCACATGACGAAGCCCAGCCCACAATAGGGATCCAAACACAACGCAACATGACGAGAAGGATACAGCTCACAGGCCAATTTTAAACTGGCGCAAAGACTAGAGAGAGATCTGCAAGGATACCGAAAATAGCTATGAAGAACTTCTGATTCGAAAGTAATATTCATTCTTATACCGATGCGTTATGTTCACCCCACTAAGACGTCCACAGGTTGACACACTGAAGTCCAAATATGCGCTGGAGTCGAATGAGACCGTGGCTATGCCGGCATATTTGCGTTTGGGATTGTCGTCAATGTCCAGTATGGGCGGCCATGTCTTTGGATCAATGGAGGTGGCCGCCTCCCGGGACTTTAGTAACTTGATGATCGGTTGTATGGAGAGCACAATGCCGCTCTTGGAAACATCAACAATCATGCGAACCGTGGGCAATGTGGTGTTTAGATTCTGGGGATGCGGGGGTCTTATGGTAATAGGTATAGCTCCCAAGTACAGGCATCCATAAAACGCGCAAAGCAAGTCGAGACCCGGAGGAAAGATGAGAGCTGCAAGTACGGTTTGTTTTATTACATTCTCAATGAAATCTCAGGTCCAATGGAGGCTTACCAACGTGATCGCCAGGCTCGATTCTTCCACGTTCCTGTAGTAAAGCTGCTATCTTCTCGGCCCGCTTGTGCAGCTCAGAGCAAGTCAGAGTCTTGGCAATGGCACCTAAAAGAAAGGTTATCCCTTGTTGTGTCTCGTTTGAACTATAGCCTTACCCTTGGAATTCAGCAACGTGAATATGATGTGATCCGGTGAGGTATTGGCACGCCAACGCAGCACCCCTGTTATGAGTTGAGGCTGTGGTTTAAAATTTAAGAATGTAGCTTCTGACTTTGAGTTATAGTTTCACGATTGTCACCAACCTTACGCTCACAATCTTCTGCCAATCCAACGTCTCGTCCGTGGGCTTCAGCCAGACGATTACCTTGCACTAAATTGCCAACCATCACGGAGGCTGGTCCGACACCCGTGTCTGTAATACCACATCCAGATGATGAGCTTAATTTAGCGGCACTTGGCACACCTTTAGTTTAGTTTTTTTTTATTGGTTTGGGGAGTGGTTAGTAAAGTATTTTTTGTTTTTTGTTTGACCATTTTGTACAAGGATTAATTCAAGCGAGTTCATTAGTTATGGTGGCATTTGTGTTTGATGTAGTTATTATACAGTGGTGTTATTTTTAGTTTGGTTTTTTGTTGTTGTTGCAGTGAGTGTGTTGTAGTGGTCAGAGAAGTAATCGCAGCATTGTTGTAGTGTTGTTGGTGGTTAAAAATAGAGGAAAGCAATATTTGTAATATTTTTTAATACGGAATATAAGGTAACGGAAGCACAGAAAGTCCAACAGAGCCAATTATATTTGAGTAATTAAACGATTCTCGGGTACACTCACCTTGATGCAGTTCCCTCGGCTTGGGTAGATTCGTGACACACGTGTGCGGGCACATGAGGACGTTTGCCGGGTGCAGGGATCCCTCCAAGAACCGCCGCCTGGCCTCGCACAAGTGAATGCCGCCGAGAGGAGTTTTGGGCAAATGGTTTGGCGGCACCAATGCCAGGCAGTAAATGCCGACCTGATGAATGGAGTCCACTGCCTGGAGGACTCGCGACATCCACTGGAAGCTCTCCTCCTCGGAGCAGTCGGGCCGCTGCTCGGCAATTACGCAGACGCGCTCGTCCCGCAGCACCTTGATGCTGAACACGGCAATGCGCCCGCGATAGATGAAGCGCATTGGTTCCACTGCTAATACTGTGGCTATGATGTCGTCTGCATTGTGCTTGCGCCCAGTGACCGTCATGAGGCCGTCACGCGAGCCGCAAACGAAGACCAACCCTCCGGGGCCCAGGAAGCCCAAAAGTCCAGAACGCACGTAATACTCTTCTCCGATTGGTTTCGAAATTACGTTAACGGTGCCATTGCCGTCTTTCGGTGGCTCGAACTCCTCCACCAGAGGCTGCACTTTGAAGGTTGAGTTTGTCATGCCATCCAGTCCAAAGTAGCTGGCGCTTGTCGAGCCGCTGGTGACGCATATCTCCCCCACCTGGTCGGTCTTGCACAGCACTGGAGATCCCTCCGAACGAACGACCACCATTTGGGCAGCGGGCATCACCTGACCGCAATCCTGAAGGGTTAACGAGGTCAACGAGTCTTCGCTGTCCACCCTGACGACACCATGCGAAAGTGCAGCCATGGAGAGCACACCCCGCCCTGTGGCCGATGGGCTAAAGCCACAAGAACCGCGACCAGGACGCCTGAGGGAGACAGTAAACACTTCCGAGCTACTGGCGCACGGGCAAATGGCATCGGAGCGCAGTCCTTTGGCTTGGAATACGTTAAGAAACTGGTCACATGAGGACAGTGACCAAGGATTGGCACCATCGGCCACGAGAAGCATGCGCAGCGAAGATAGCGAGATATCCTTGTGATCTTTGGTGGCCAGTAAGCCCCAGTGCAGATCGCGGCTCTTGACGAGACAACAGGACGCCCGGTGCTTAGTTATCAACTGCATCCAGCTGGAGGGGCGCAGTTTCATCAGGGCATAGGGTATGAAGATGACGTGCATTCCATTCAAAACGGAGGTCAGAACCGAATGCCACAGACCGACTTCACGCTTGAAATCCAACACACAAACGATGGTCTCACCCTCGGTGTAGTGGCAGGCCATGGTCAGAGCCCGGCAATGATTGATCATGGCAGCTCGAGTAACAGTTACGCCTGCAGTTGGACATAAAATCACTCATTTCGATTCCTGCGTATTTGTTTCGTTTCAACTTACCCATAACACTGCCCTCCTTATCAGTTGTATATTCGATATAAGCCGCTGCTGACTCGTCGACACGCAGATTACCCACGTTGAACTCCTTGGGTGGCTTGGGCAAGTGCTCGGTGACGAACCACTGCAGACGCGGCCAGCCCTTCAACTTGGCAATTTCGCCAGTTGTCGTGGATTTTGGAAGACCTTTCAGGCAAGCCTCTGAGGTCAGGGCGACGGTTATGCCGCAGGAGCTCAGCAAAAAGCCCACCTGCTGGGGTGGGGTGTCGGAGCTTGAGAGCGGCAGCTCAATGGGCAGGGGCACCAAGCCCCTAAACATGCAGCCATACCAGGCAGTAATGAAACTAAAATGGTTTATCGGATGTAGTGCGTGGCAAACCAATAATTACATTTAAATACTAACCTCAAGGGGTCATTGTTCGGGTAAACCAAGGCCACACGGTCTCCTGGCTTGAGGGTTACTTGCTCGGGTCCCTTGCTGAATATCTTTGTGGACAGAGCATATGCGATCTTCTGAGCACGCGACAACAGTTTCCCATATGTCAGTGTGGTTGTTATTTTTCCGTTAGGATCGAGGACCGTGGCCATGGGGCTTTTGAAGGAATTAGTGCCATAGCGTTGGAGAGCGCACTCCAGGGTTCGTGGTAGACCGGCTGGTATTGAGAGTTGCTCGCCCTGCACAGGTGTCATCGTACTGCCCTCCGGCTTGGGGGCATTCGGATCTTTGGTATTTGCAGCGATCTCAAGCTCAATATCGTTGTCCTCATAGAACTCGGGCAATGGCCGGCGCTTGGGTCGCTTCAGAGTGTTCAGCAGTTGCTGAATTTTGGCCGAGACTTTCCATTTTCCATTCGCATCCGTCTCGGTGAGTTCATTTGGAGCGAGATTAACATACCGCGTAACCCGGTCGGCCGCCCGATGAGCATTGTTGAACTGTGTGATGTCAGGAGCGTTGACTAACGAAAGAGTGGAAATTAATTTATTACTTTTGCAGTTTGCGCGCTAAATTGAATTGATTACGTCGGACCCAGACAGAGCAAACACTGCTGCAAGCGAGCTTCACTTGTGGGCATTCTATTCCCATTACTTACATTGCTTTTGCTTGTACGCCTTGTCGGAGAAGTCACTGTCGCGCTTGTAGGCAATGGGCGGCGAGTCTGTGCTCGAAGTGTCGGATGTGGGCTGGGCAGAAATAACAAACAATTAGTGGTTACTGGAAGTTCCTCTTAAAAACTTGCACTTGTTTAGGACTAACACCTGTTTACCTGAAAGAATAAAGTTTATTTTTAAGTTTCTTGAAAACACTTACTATTGGTGGCAGATTCTGAGGAGGACGCCTTTCCGGAGCACTATTGGATGAGGCATACTTGTGATTTGGCGGCTGGGGAGTCGGTTTCACATCGTGCCGCGAATGCTGCTGTGAACTCATCGATGACTCACGGATTGGGGGCTTAATAATTGGCTCTGGCGGTAGCATGCTGTTGCTAATGTGGTCGCGCGGATAGTTGTACTCCTTGTCGGGGGAAATGATTTCTTCGGGTATTGATTCGTCGTCGGTCGATGAGTCCAGCTCATCATTGCACCCGGGACTTCGGTTGAGCACCGATGTGCGTTTCGATGGCATCGGAAGGCTAGGTTTCGGACGACCCTTTAGGGCAGCTAGTGCCTGCTGCACAGCCTCCTGCCTAACTTCTGTAAATGGACGAAAAGGGAATTCCGTTCAGGGGTTAACTTTGATATTCTTTCTACTACTGTATTCCCAAACTTACCCGAATGATAGCGTTTCTCATTGTGCGTTACCTTTCGCTGTGTGCGTCGCTGACGATGTTGACTGTTGTTCGATGGCGTATTTTGAAAACCACTGGGCTCGCGAGTATTCTGGTAGCCTGGATCTCCGACTGCACCACCTTGTGGTCGCATATTTTCGTAGCCGGGAGCCCCAACACCACCACCACCACCACCACCACCACTGCTTCCTCCGCCGTGGGAGTTTGATGATGTTGTCACGGAGGATGACTGGTGGAAGTCAATCTTTTTGGAATGTCTTTGCTGGGAGGAGGACAGGGAGGGAACCTCGGTGACATAGCTGTAGCCCTCGCTGGAGACTATGACACCATCGTTATTGATGTTTCCTCCGTGACTGCTGCTGTTGTTGCTATTGTTGGCATCTTTGACGTTGTAGTATGGCGGTGGCGGGTTGCTCTTCGGTTTGTCGCCTGCGAATGGCACGGGGAAAGCAGGAAGTGAACACATTGCACAGCGACATACGTATAAAAATAACTCCAAAAGCAGTAGCAAAACATACCCTCATGCTTTTTTAGGAAAGGCTGCAGTAGCTTCGCCCGTTTCTTCTCATAGCCCTTTTGGGTGATGTCACCTGTGAATGAAAATTATAGCGAAGGGGATTTCGAGTTAGAGAGGATGTGTGTAACTTCGTCCAGATTAACACTTGGTGTTTGTTTATTTAAGAATCTCTTCCGCCGACATATGCACACACACTTATCGTTGCGTGGGGTGGAGAGGGGGTGGTATATATATCACATTATGTCGCCTCAATTACAGATTAAGAAACGTTAAATTAACTGCCTCGTCTGAATTATTAAATTATTGTGTAAATGGATAGGGGGAGTAGTTGCATATTTTATACTCTTACGGAGGGTTTTATAATTTTTAGACAACGTTTTAACATTTTTAAAATGGTTAATATATTTTAAAAATTCAACTTTTTTGAATAATAATCTTTTTGTAGAGTTAAAAGTGGATTAATAAATACTTTTACAAACATGATAAAAATTTATTTGATTTCCAGACACAACACAACACATATGTACATATGTATGTATATATATACAACCAGACTAAAACAATCTTAGTTTTGACCGAAAAATGTATCTGCTTATTGGATAAAATCCTCATAAGGGTGCAGAGGATCGACTCTGGTCTAGCTCAGCTTCTTGTTTTTCTTTACCTTCCGACAGCTCCAAGTCCAATTCGGCGAGCTTCTCGCGAACATAGCCGGGCAACGAGGAAGGGTGCTCCATGGTTAACGTTAATTAATTTCAACCCAATGCGATCCAATCCACTCCTAGACGCTTTGGAGGCGTTAAAATTTTAGTTGGGCGCAGCGCAGGGCCGTGCACACACACCCAGACACCGCAGAGACACCGCTACTTTCCCACTTCGTTGTCAAAAATCGATCGATTTGCCATCCGTGCTCGATTTCACATTTTGCCGTAGAAAATCACCGGGGTCTACAACTGCCTCTGGCCAAATGCATCGGATCTGTACTGGGACACTGGGCCTAATGTAGCAATTACTACCAATTTGCACGGAAAAAGTAAACAAAGAAAAAGTAGCAGTACAAATCAATTCTGTGCTTAGCGAAAATTCTGTTAACTGTCACAGCCCTGCATTGTTGCATTAGCAGGAAATCGATTGGTCTTGGAATCGATGGCTGACAAATATGAATAAAATGATTATTTTCATTCAAGTGAATCCCAAGAGCACCAAAAACAAGCAGGGTTTTCGTAAATTTTTATTGCTTAATTAATAAAATAACGTTCAGCTGTCTTTTTACCTTCGCGGCTTTCGATATTTCATGGTATCGATAGTAGCATATCGATAGATGCCATTTTGGTTTCAAAAATGCGTGAGTTTATTCAAACGTTTGTTTGGCTGCTTAAAAATCAATGATTTTCTTAGATAATCTAAAGATTCAGGAGGAAATCAAGGCGCTTAAGGAGCTGGGACAGCACTTGGAGCAGCAGATGCAGTTGGCCAGCGTCGAACTGGGAGATTTCTCGGACGACGACTTGGGACTCCTTGACAAATGTGCTCACCTTTACGCACATCTACACATCCATGACTTTAACTTGAACTATTTGCGGGATTTCTACTTTGCGCGGAAAAAGGAGCGAATTGAAAACCAGCAGATTAAAGTGCAACAAAAAATAGAACTCCAAAAGGTAAAGGATGCCATTGACGAGGCCGCTAAGGAGGTGGCAGTTCTGGAGCGGTGAGTTTCGAGACATCTGTTTTCGGAAGCCCACTTATCCTTCCCCATCTTTCCCAGATTTAAATCTGAGGCGGAAAAACGTCTGATTCCTGAAAGCATTTTCCAGCAGAAGCACAACCAGCAACAAGCTACCAAACAAGGCCTACTGGAAAGACAGAAAGCCTGGAAGACACCCAAGGAGTTTAATATGGACGCCCTCATTGACAAAGTGGAATCTCTGGAGCGACGCTAGTAAATTTTTAATTTAATCTTGGTTTTATAAAAAATTATTTAATGTATTTACTCAGTAATGCAAAAAACACTTTACAATAACATAAAATCTGCAAATTTAAAAGACATTGTGGTTATATAAATTTTATCCTGCGGTATAATTATACTTTCCGGAGCTAAAGCGCTTATAAAATGTCCAATTGCTGCTAATGTGTGTCAAATATTTACTTTGGAGGATTATCGCGTCGAGCGGTTTGAAAAAAATATTAAGAAAAAAAACTAGAAAACCGAATATTAGACGATTGCCAACTGCTAGAAGCAAGCAAGGTTTTTGCTATGCTCTTCATGCAAATGCTCAAATGTATGTATTGTATTTCCAATGTGGTATATGCATCATATATATTGGTGTGTATATAGAATAGAATTAGTAATTTCATAATCTTTAAGTTGTTGCTTGTTGTTGTTATGTATATAAAGGGCGGGTATGTGGCAGACAAACATTTCGGCTGGCAACGCACTCCACACGCACGCCACAAGCCTACTCCCAGTTTCCGGCCGACTTTTAGCGGAACTCGGGCGCATCATCCTGGGTGATGTCGCCGTACTTCCAGATGGCCAAGTGCGCGGCCAAGGCAGCGTCTTGCGCAGCTCTGTACTGGTCCACCAGGTCCTTTAGCTTCCGCTCGCGACGCTTCTCTGCCAGCACAAGACCCTCGGCGACCAATTGCTTTCCAAAGTCGGTCTTGGTCGTGGGATCGTGCAGGGTGGCCAAGTTCGGCGAGCCAGTCACCTTCAGCTCAACGTTGAGTTGAACCTTGTGGTTCAGCACATCCTCGGAGAAGGCGCGCAGAGCTTCCTCCTTGTCCTCGTTGTCAGTGGGCAGGGCGACCAAGGCCAGAGCATACTCCGTGGCATACGGCTTCTCGCTGCTGAAGGCTGGAGGTAAGGCTGCCAATCGGCTGGTGGGCAGAGTCTACAAGAAAAAAACGAAATTTTAGAATATTTTCGATTTCGCACAAACATTCTTTTGAATTTGAATGGGTATGTCGCAGCCCGAGCGCATTAGCAATGCATGACTTGGACGCCCCCAGCCACTCTGTGCTCCGTTTTCGAATGTACACCCTGTCTGACTTCAGTGGACTTTGGTAGAGCCAAAAAATATGGCAAGACCTCTGGACCTTCGAAGAGAAGGGCATATTAATCGAAGGTGGAACACATTTAGCGTAGCTGTAGGGTTTGGGGTACGTCCTCATACAATAGCAGCCGCCACCCGGGAAGCATATTTTATATAGCAAGCTTATGACTCATGCGTTTCACTTTTAGCCAGAAACGGATCTAAGGAACTTGCAGATAAATCTGCATTCTCAGAGATGCACTCACCTCCTTGTTGCCGTAGTCGATGTACAGGACAGTGGCGTTGCTGCCCTGAACTCGCTCCACCTTTGCACGGTACCATTGGTTGTCCAAAGTGAACTGAGCGGCTACCAAGTCGCCGCGCTTGGGCGTATACGCGCCAGCGATGGGTGGGTTGGACTGGAAGTCGGCGTGCAGCTTGCTCATCAGCGTTTCAAGTTTGGACCCGTTTTCCACGGACTGCGCGAAGAATGTCAGAGTCTCGGTAATCTCGGTGACGATAACGTTCTCGTAGTTGACCTTGCGCTCGGCTACCACCTTGTCCTCCTTCTCCTCCTCAACGACCACCTTCTCCTCGGGCACTTGTTCAACATAGTTGGCCCAGATGTTCTTCTTGGCGGCCTTGGCACGGTCCTCGGCGCTCTTCAGCTGCCGGTAGTACTCGGATTTCTCGGCACTGAAGTGCACCTCCGCCAGACCCTCCTCGACGAGGGCAACAGACAGGTTAGCTCCACTGTCGGTCCACAGCCAGCCGATGACCGAGGAGCCAGCCTTGTCGGTGGTGTCGATGTGCACAGAAACATCGCGCTGCAGAACCCGCTCGCGCGTGAAGGTCAAAGCCTCATCGCCGAAGGGCTCACCCTCCTGGGCGGGAACTCCGTTCAGAGCCGGTCGAGAGGATCGCGGACACGAGATGCCTGCTAGTAGGAATGTGACCAGGCAGCTGTCCTTTGGCACGAACAGTCGCAGGCGCGATCCACTTGCAACGAATTCAACAATGGCTTCGGTACGCAGGGCGCGCTGCCACGACGGCAAGTACTGGACTTTAATTCGGGAATGATCGACAGTGAGGTCGTTCACTCGCAGAGTGGCGTTGTCCTTCTTTGCGTGCAGTCCCTTCAGGCCCTTAATAGCTTGCTGCTCGGCAGCAATCAGTTGATCGTAGGCGGAAGACCTCTGATCGTCGTCCTGGCGGTAACGGACGCAGGTGGCCAACCCCTTGGCCACCATAGCCTCAGCTACGTTCTGGCCTCCGATCAGGACGGTGTAGCAGTATTTCTCGGGGAAGTTTTCCCGAGGAGGCGAGATGTAGTCCAGATTGCACTGCACCTTCTTGTTGATCAGCTTCTTGCGCAGGAACTCGCGGGCATCGAACATGTGCGGGATCTCGTACAGAGGTCGGTAGTTCTTGCCACGCGGCGGAGCCTTGACGATCTCCTCCCCGTCAGTGCCAACCACAGCGCGCTGATCGCGAGGAGGCCTAATGGACGAGAAGAAGGCCTTCTTGACCTGACCGTTGGCGAGGCGGACATTGATGGCGTCACCATTGAAGACCTCGACCACTGTTCCGGTAAAGTCCTTCTCCTTCGAGTTGAACGCGGGTGTTTTTGCTTGGTAGTCCTGCCACTGTCGGAGACGCTTCTCCTTGGCCACACGCTCGGCAGCACGCAGTTTGTCGGCTCCTAAAAGAACAAATATATCAAGAGTTAGCAAGGTTTCTGAAGAGTCAGCCTGAAGCTACATTTTGTCCTAAAGGTTAATGTCGGCGGGGTGAAATGAACATCATGACAATTAGATTCAGCCACGGCATTCTTGGAGTCCGTCTTTAATCTAGCAGCCAACTGCTACAGGGGACAGCACACAATAGGTTATCTACCAATGCGGTGCTGATCTGTGCAATCGAGCTGCTAAAATGATAACCACTGTTGGGTCTCACACCAAAGCAAGTGAAGGCGGTTCAATTCAGGTGCATCTTAGGGAGACCAATACCCTCTGGCAACTGTCTATTGGTCCATACAGCACTTGGGCCAGAACGGACTCCCAGCAACGCCGCCATCCCATTCAGGTTTAGCAATGAATTACAACTTACCGGTCTTCATTACGGCCATGGACCAATCCACGCACTTGGCCAGTCCCTCGCGCAGCAGAGACTCGGCAATGTTGCCCTTGGGGTACAGAATCGTGCCGATGAAGTTCGAGTTGTTGACGGACTCCAACCGAATCTCAACATCGCGCTGCAGCAAGCGGGTCTCCACGAAGTAGCGGGCTTCATCAGCAAACGGCACCTTGACGCTGAGGTCGGGCTTGCCGTCGGCATCCAACTTGACTCCGGGACACCGGATGCCCGAAATCATCAGCGTGATGTAGTGGAAGTCGGGCAGCAGGAAGGCACGCACCGTGGATCCATCTCGCACATGCTCAATGATGGCCTTGACGGGCTTGCCGCCGTAGATGTCGACCACGTGCGCGGGGTTTTCGTGGGACCACTTGATGTTACGCACCTTGTCGGCAGCGTTCGTGTTCGCCGCCCACTTGCCTCGTCCAGCGGCACGGGCCTGATCCTCCACTTCAATCAAAGTCTGCTGCTCGGCAGTCGGCCTTCCCTCGCGGCGCACCGTTACCAGACCCTCACGCACAATGGATTCGACTACGTTCTCGCCGGTCTCCTTGTCCTTTCCGATCCACACGAATCCGTACTCTCGGTTGGAGTTGGCAGGCTTGTCGAAAGTAAACGTTACTTCAACGCCAATAAGCTTTTTTCGGAGGAACTCCCGCGACTCCCACGCCCAGGGCTCATCTTTGGTCTCATCACCACCGGCTCCGGGGCGACGGGCCAGTTTCGGGGCCAGGACATGCGAGAAGGTGATTTGTTTCTCCGGAGGCGGGGCACCCTTGGTCGCGCGAATGACTACCGTGTCGCCGGAGAGAACCTGGAATAGGAAGTGTGGGATGTAGGTTACCCATCTGGTCCGAACAGTTGAGGTTAAATGAAAGTGCACGTGCGGGCGGCTGCTGCCTAGGGGTGGACCTATCTTGCTATCGCACCACTTGCTATCGATTACCAGTGGCGCAATGCATATTCAACGGATTTTCACTTTTACCTGGCCGACCTGGGCTATCAATAAATGTACAGTTACTGATTTTGAGAAGATTACATCCTAAAATGCATGCCAACGCATTTAAATTTTACAAAAAATAAAAAAACACGTGCGGGGTCTAGCAGAAGGCGCCTGCGCTAGAAAAATGTCACGTAGGGATGCACATATGAGTACATACATAGGTATATAGGCCCAAGACGAGGGTCCATCTTGCCGGTCACCAGATTAGTTTGCTCTGCAGATATCGCCTTACACAAAACAGGCCTCAAAAGGCCTTTCTAACAGAAACCGGTTTAGGGAACAACAAAAATATCTCAATGGCTTCTTCAGCTCTTTTTGGGCCTACGTAGGCATCTGCTGGAACTCTTGTGCTGGCCGAAATTATGCGGCAGGTATACGCGATCCAGCAGCAAAGCCAACAAAAGAAAAAGATAAGAATTAAAAGGGGGCAGCTGGTACTAGGGCGTCGCCTAGTGGTCATCAATGATCAACAGGTTTTCCGAGTGGGAGGTGGGGATCTCAGCTACCTGGTCAGCCTTAAGAACAATCTATCCCTACGCCGATTTGACAACGTCACCAGGTTCGATGCCAGCCGGCTAGAAAGCTGGAAATTGATAATTGTTATCACTACCACTGCCACGAAAGACTGGCGAAAGTCCACTGAGCTGACTGAAAATAGCGACCCCCTGCCAAACAATGAACTAAACTGCCTCAAAGGAAGTGTAAAGACCGCAGTCCTCCAGTCCTAATCAAAATAAATTTATAAATAACAGCAAATTAACTCAAAAATGCCCTTCCGGGGTTGACAAGGAGGTTAGAAACGAACAGGCCGCTAACGCAGCAGCGCCATAACAAAGGCTGTTGACTAAAATATAAGTTGGACACGTCCTTATTATCCTGATTTAATGGCGTGAGCCACGGGGCAGTAGTAGAAACAATTAAAATGGGGCGGTACTGATAGGGGCCTGCATGGGCCGCCAAAGAAAATCTGCCAGCTTGGCACCTTCGATAACTTTCATTTCTTCTTCGTTAGCCGCGAGCGTGTGCAACGTGTCACTCTCACGCAGCCAGCCTATACACGCGTCTCTTTCGCACTTGTCAGAGTTGCACTCGCCCGCCTCCAACAGGCCCAAAAACCGCGTTTGCCACGCTGCTACGGAAGATTAGGGCGTCTGGTGACTGGTCGTGGTCCATGACGATGCCAGAGATAGCCACAATTCACTCACCTGCTTCACGATTCCGCTCAACGTCTTGGCAGGGGCGGGCGGCGCTCCTTCTTTCGCTGCTCCTCCGGCAGCTGTCGCGCTGTTCGCTGGTGTTGCCATTTTCTCGTCGGATGCGGGTGGGGTTGAATTAGCAAGGGCCAATGATGCGCTGCGCTCAATAGCGGATAATCTTGTCTTTGTTTCGAGTGTACGTGCACCGCCGAAGTCCACCTAATTAAGTTATTTGAGCAATGAAGGAACCGCACACAGTAATCTCTCCCGAATTTTCGCTTCTACAGTGTGCTCCAAGTACAGTGTAGCTTCGAGTTATCGATAATGTATAGGGTTGATAAATCATAAGAATATTTATCGATATTCTTTAAACAGTGACTAGGATTTTGTCTTAATTTTTATTAAGTAAATCGGGAATATCACTGTCAGCTCGATCCCGAGCCCAGTCACGACTATTTTTATATTCTATTCCACTTATATTTGACTTGATATTCCATGTTGTAGTTCGGGTGCAACCTGATCTTCTAACTACAAGATATATGGTTGATATATTACAAAATAATGGCAGAAGCATATTTTTATGTTTTTTAATTTAGCCCACTTTATTTTGGGGTTTGGGTTACATCAGAGGTCGGCACTCAATACATTGATATTTATATATTTCAGGATACACATCCTGAGATTCAAATTTTCTGTTCCGATAATTTTACATGGGTATTTTTACATACTATTATTGCTCTTCTCCTGTTTTGAGTTCGAGTAAATTTGAACAATATAATTAATTACCGAGGGAAATATAAACAAAATATATAAGAAGTTTTATGAATGGAAATAGTCTATTGTGTAAATTTTTAAACTAAAGCTATTGATAACAAAAAATCGATTTGCAAGTGTCAGCTCTAGTCTTTGGCCCAAAATTTTACGCGCGCACATCGCTATTGTGGCCAAACAAAACAAAAATGACCCGGTCAAACAAAATGTTTGGCGACAAAGCCTTCGAGCTACTCAAGGAACTGGAGCGTTCATCGCAAACCATACCAGCTTTCGACGATGACGGCGTTCGGCAGGTGCTTGAGGAAATCAAGGCCATATTCGAGGAGAACGTGGCTCAGGCCTCTACATACAACACCTCCGGCGATAGAAGCCTCTGGCCACTGCTGAACTTCCGACACGCAGCTCTACAGAGGAATAAGCGCTGCCTCCTGGCCTACCTCTATGAACGCTGCCAGCGCATCAAGGCCCTGCGCTGGGAGTTTGGACCTATTATCCCGGCTGACATCAAACAGACTCTCTGCGAACCGGAGGTTCAGTTCTTTAACAGCTACTCCAAGTCATTGGCTGCGTACATGTGCAGCGCCGGCTACAGCCAGGGTGCTGGTCAAGGCCTTGACCTAACCAACAACCTGCGTCCGCCAAAATCCCTGTACATAGAAGTTCGCTGCATGGAGGACTATGGAAAGTTTGAGCTTGACGACGGAGAGGTAATCCACCTAAAAAAGAACAGTCAGCACTACCTCCCGCGGGCCCAAGTGGAGTCCCTTGTGCGACAAGGAATCCTGCAGCATATAGCTTAAATCTTTTTTGTAGAAATGATTGTCCAGTAAGATTATTGAACTAGTTGTAAGCTTATTTTTTGATACTTTTCATCTTTGATTAAAGTTTTATACAGTTGGATAAAAGTCTTGTCTTCATATAGTTGTAGTCCCTTAAAATGTACTGTTATTGAACAGATAAAGGGTAGTATATTTAATTTGATTGTTATAAAGATAGAAAAATTGTTCCCGTTAATATAAACTGGAGTTTTTAAAGGCACTTTATGGAAAACAAAATCTATAAATTCGTTACATTTCTTATAATTATTCCTCGTCTCTTCCTTGGAGCTTCCTATTTTGGAGGTAGTATTTTTTATTTGGTTATTATAAAGATAGAAAAATTGGCACCCTTAATGCAAATATTAGTTTATCGAAGGCACTTTATGGAAAACAAAATATATAAATTTCTTCCACTTAAACTGAATCCTCATCTGAATCCTTGATTATTATAAAGATAGAAAAATTATTATTCCAAATATAAGCTTCAGTTTCATGAAATCTAAATCTATAAATTCATTACATTTCTTATAAATATTCATCATCTCTCCAGGAGTTAGGCACTTCATGGATAACTAAATCTATAAATTCGTTACATTTCTTATAATTATTCCTCGTATCTTCCTAGGAGGTTCCTAGGAAGGAGGAGGGCCCTTCATGGAAACCTAAGTCTATAAATTCGTTTAATTTCTCATACTTGATCCTTATCTCTTCCTTTTTGAGATCAAGAATTTTGGGCTTCGGTAGCGTAGCGGGGGCTTTCGAACTCGCTGGCTGCGCCTAGGTGGTGGCTTATTATTGGAATGCTCTTCAGAATCCGATATGAGGTATATTTCATCGACACAGGATCCCATTTTTTTCAGAGTAAAGACGGCTCGATTTCCAGGCACAGCAAGGGCTGATGTTTTGATCCCCAATGTAATGACGGATCCCTCTGTTACAGGGGTCTCAATGGTGTTTTCTACACGTGTGTCGTCAATAAATATTTCTTTCAATTCCGTCTGAGCATTGGAAAAAAAACATTTTTTTGTTTTAAGATTTAGTAATCTAAAAAGTAAAACAGAACTTACCAAAGGTTTTAACATCACTTGATCGTCATCAATGATTAGGTTGGCATGTTTGCGAGCAACTTTATTAAATGGTGCGCAGAGAATAATCTGGCAAAGCGCACTGCTACCTATTACATTATCCCCAGTATGCAGGAAAATCTTTTCGGCCGTAGTTACGTGCTCCAAATACCAGTCACTGGACATCTTGGTGGCCTAGTTCTAAAAGTAAAATTTGTTGATTTCTATAAACAACTTTTCGCCAGGGACGCCGGTAAGCTTTTTTGAGGTGAAATTCAGATCTGGTCTCGTATCATTAAAAATGGCGGATTTTCATATTTCCGCTGCGGGTACTGAAAGAGTGCTGACATTTTTTTAACTTTTTTGCATTAGAGCTAAAGAATAAAGAATGTTTTCTAATAACATATTTTGTAGTAAAAACAATTTATGCATAATGTGAAATGAAGAATTTAATAAAGTTTATTTTTTAGCGACTGGCGCACCTTAGAGACTTAAAATGGAACTTTTCAAAAGTGTAGTGCTTAAAACGTTTTTTTTTATTGGTTATCGATATATAATGATTTCTATCGTTTGAGAGACATCAGCTGTTTCCCGGCGCATTACGTGATATCTTTTGGTTGTAAATTGTTAAATACTCCATTAAAATGAATCAAGCTGATGTTTCAAAGCTTATGTCCCAACTGCGCATAGCAATTAGGCCCAGACATCGGAACTTGAAGAACGTTGATGGGCCGGAAGGACGTCTGCTGAAGCTGCGGAAAACAGTGACTGCGTTGGTGAAGCACGAGAGGATTGAGCTCTTCTATAACCGCGCTGATGAAGCTCGTGGCTATGCTGAATTGGTAAGAAGATTTCGTTTATTTAATGGATAATCTTTTTACAAACCTTTTTGAATCCGTTGTATAGCTTATTTCTAATGCCATACGCCACGGCGACACTCACAATGCTACCATGGAAATGGCGGATTACTGGCTGCTGGAAAAACAGTTGGTACATAAGCTGTTCAAGGTGCTGGTGCCTCGTTACGAGAACTACACTGTCTCCTACACTCGCATGTTCAATGCTCCTAGGACCTATCCTGGTATATACTACAAAAATTCCGTCTTGGAGCTCCGGGGTAATCCATACCCTTCGTTGATAGTGGATCAATCACAAAACAAGAATCTACTGCACAACGTGCTCCTGGACGAAGCGAGGAAAGAGTACCGGCGTAAGAAACTTGCGGAGCTGGCCCAATAGGGCCCATTTTGATTAAAAATACATTTAAGACTTGAGAAGCGCTTTATTATAACTGTTTGTATATTTTAAACCTACAATTTTTGGTCATTATTTTAAACAATCTCTGGTTTACTAGCTATCTCTAAGATCAGACTTGTGGCTACAGCTTGCTAACATTGCAATGACTAAAAAAGTCGGATTTCCAATCTAAAGAATATATAGGTTAATCAAGTTGTTTAATTAGCTCGTTAAAAATTGTTGCTTACCCTTTCCCGTGAAACAAATGTCCCGCAGCATTTCACATTGGCTGTAGAAGAACTGGTGTTCATTCAAAGAAGAGGCACAAATTGGCAGAAACGGATCACAGGTGGATAGGGCCCGACAAGCGGATGCGGAACTACTGACAATCACCGGAATCGAGGCAACAGCCAGAACACAGAGCAGCAAACATATAACCGAAACCGTGAGGAACCAATACCACTTATTCGTCGGATTATACGTAACGAGCATCTTGTTGAAAGAGGAGTTGCACCATATCAGCCTCAACAGACTAAGGAGGGGCTGTCGTTAAGCCGGAGTACGCACAAACAACGTGCTATATGAAGAGATTTTTTTCTTTAATTTATATACATGTGCTATGTATTTCTCACGCGGTCACAGATTGTTCAGAGCCACTGGCTGACTATCCAACAACTGATAACCACTCGGGGGAGACCTAAGCGCTGATGCATGCTAATTCGAGGGAACGCGAGGGTTGTCATGACAACCATCGCACCGGCCAAAGAATCAATGATAACTTTACCTCCACTTTACATGCATGGTCTGGGGGGGGCTTTTGTTTCCCGGATTTTATACTCCCGGAATTTTGGTATGAATGGGGTTGCTCAACCAGCCGGAATACCGGCTTTGTTCGTTGGTCTTTCACTTACTGGTTGGAATATAAATGGGTCGGTGTCGGTCCAGTTTAAGCGACAAGTGGTCTGTGCGAGGTACGGAACTGAAATGTGCAGATTTCCCCAAGCATTCATATGATTGTTTAATGAGTCACCGCCAAGAGGCAGCTTTGTTTTGGATTAAGAAATGAATACCGGTGTTTGGAGGAAATTCTGTGATTCAACTGACTCATCCAAACAATGGAACAACTCTCTAGTTTTAAGTCGGCCTTCTTATGCTCTGGGAGATACTAATGCATGTGAGATTTATTTTTTAAATTTAAACCTCAGTATATTTTTGTGCTGAGACTATTTGAATAATTTGTTTACTTCTTTGTTATAGCAATATTTGTGCAAATCATCATCCGATCACAACAGATTTCTAAAACATAATATTTTTAAAATTTTTCGTGTTATTTGCAAGGAATTATAAATGCAAGGAATTTATAAAGTTCATAGTTTAAAAAGTTTATAGCTTTAACTTTAAGAAGGGTATATGGACATTTAATATGCGATGGGATGGGATACTGAGGCCCCACCCATTTGATTACTTTTGCTTGTTTTTATGAAAGTTCAGCTTTCTTTAAAGTTCTCCATGCCATTTGAAGGACTCTTTTCATCACGCCAGATTCAGCTTCAGCTGCCACTTAAAGACATTGCCGCTGGAAATCACTCTGGGACATAATATGGGTCAAGTGAATAGCATACTCTTTTATGGCGACTAATGGGACTGTTGCGGTGCAATTTGAAACTTATGGCCCTGTAATACAGTGAGGCACTTATTGATTTTTATAGACTTGGCCCGCGTATGCCAGCAACCAAAGTCAATCAAGATGTAGTCATTAGAGGGGTTTCTGGCCGAGAAAACTCCTGGCAACGTCATCAACTTCCTGGTTAAAGGTGCGGTTACCGGTTTCCATCCTGGCCGCCAGGTGACGCCTGGCTGGGGCATGTTGGTTTGGGTCGGGTCGAGCCTGGTCGGGTCAGGTGACTTAATTACATTTGCATTATTAAATTTTATGACAGCTGTTGGACTCAATAACGCCTACATACTGACCCCGGGATGATGTTGGTTACGACGCGTCGCTGTGCAATTAAGCTGGCCGAAGGCTGCTCGTCCTGTTGTGTCCTTTTCCGCTTCATTTGTCGCCAATTTGCCAACGGGCCTGGCGTTTCCCTTAAAGTACCATTTCCCTTGAATTGGAAAAAGGCACATAGTCTGGCTATTTACAACAACAGGTGATTGATGGCTCGCTGTAAGGGTGAATCCAATCCATGCTGGTCAAGATTACTCAGTGTTTATGAGGCGTAAACTTGATGAAATGCTGATACCTAGCTCCTACATATGGACGCAATGCTTTTCCAATTTTCTTTATATACATTTATATATACATAAGTGTATATGGATGGGAACGGTGCATTGACTTTGCGACCACAATTGGCATGGGTGGGGCTGGCATAATGCCATTGTGAGTCCGCCTTGCTCAATTGAGTTAAAGGTTTGGCTGCCAGGACACTGATTGCACACGTACAAGGACATTGGTGATTGAATAAACATTGAGGCAGCCCAACCCAGGTACGGTGCAACCAAGTCTGACTTCCCCTAAATGAGTCATGATAAAATTTTTTTGGGGGGGGAATATCTGTGAAATAAATTATGAGCCTTTGGTTGAGCGCCGGCAGCTTGCAGGACATTTATTATCAGGACAGGAGCCAGAGACAGAGCCAAAAAGCTACTTGGCCATCACAGCATTCGCGTTAAAAATAGAATGTAAAATATTTATATGCAGAAACATGCGCAGCAGCTCATTGATAAAAGCCCAGGAATTGCTGCGCGCACCCTCTCTCGCACGAGCCACGAGCCACGAGAGAAAGGGCTGGCTGCTCCTTTGACGAGCATAGAATCCTGCAGGATATTATACATGCCGTGGCCTTTTATGCTGCTGTCCTTATATCTTCCCATTCAGTTTCGAAGAGTCGCGCATCGAGAGCAGTTGGATACAAAATCAGAGTCGTTCTGGAGTTGTTTTGTGTGTATATCTAACGGTTAGTCCTTCACTTTGTGTGTGAAAAAATTGGAATTGTGTCCAAAAAATATATAAATAAAAATTGGTTCTGAAAACGAAAATGTCTGCTCAAAATGAAAAGCTCAAAATACGAAAGATTGTGATTAAATTGAATAAAATTGTGGTATTCGAAATATATACATACATATATAATTAAAATGGGAGCATACTTCAAAGATGCTTCATGGCTCCCTTGGAATCGGTGGATGTATCTTGAAATACGAGGCGGGCAGGGCAATTGCGTCGTTTTATTTTTCTCCTCCGAAAATTTGAGTCTATGATTATATACCAATTATTTTCGGATGACTATAACCCTAATACATACACTTTTTCCGCTATCCTTTACTGCCACGTAAAAGTCTCTACCTTTTTTCCCCACTAAAGTATGGGATTTTCACCCCCGCACTTCAATTTTTTTTCCGCAGCATCCAAGTCAGAGTCACACCATGAGACATAATTATAACGCGATTTTGCTGGCAGCGTTCCTGACATGGTCGGGGGTGTTGTGTAGCACAGTCCTGGCCACAACGGAGGGCCAAGAAACCCCTCTGGCACTTCCGGTGGCGGAGCAGACCCAGCCCACCACAGCCATCCAGGGGGAGGTGTGGGAGGAGGACGATCATGAGGTCTTAATCCGAAACGAACGTGGCACCAAGAGTGATGGTAAGTTATCGGAAATCTTTCAGTTTCTTAGGTATATCTCTCTTAAAACATAACATAGAACGGAAGATTTATTGACTTTATTTTGGATTGAAAACAGCTTACCTAAATATGTAAATAAAAACCTTGAAAGTAAAACTTTAATAAGATTTAATTTTTAGTAAAAATAGTACGTAAAAAATATATAGTTGTAGAAATTTCCCTTTTGTTGCTTAACATTAATAAAACATTAAGTTGATTTATTTTCATATCTTTTTAAAGGCCTGTCCTGTCGATATGGCAAGAATCCTTGGACCGAGTGTGACACAAAGACCAATACGCGATCCAGGACATTGACACTGAAGAAGGGAGATCCAGCATGCGACCAAACGCGTACTATTCAGAAGAAATGTAAAAAAGGTAATTATTGCGATTTTATATTTTCATCTTTTGCTCTATTTCCGGTTTTAAAATATTCCTAATATCTACAGCTTGCCGGTATGAGAAGGGTTCCTGGTCGGAGTGCGCCACTGGGCAGATGACCCGGGCCGACAAGCTAAAGACGAGCAGTGATCCTTCCTGCGAAGCAACGCGAGTAATCAAGAAGAACTGCAAGCCCGGAAAGTCCAAGGATAAGAGTGCCAAAGAGCAGCGCAAGAACAAGGACAAAGGTGAGTCTAACAGCTCGGTTTAATAATAAAAAAATAAAAAAAAGCTACTATTTAAAAATATTAAATGACATTTTTGTAACTTTTTCCTCCAACTTAAATGCAGCCGCTCGCAAAGGACGCGTTTAAGTGATTTCGTAACCTATTTAATTTTAAATGCCCCGTGTTGGTTTGCAGCCTTGCAAACGATTTAAGTTATACTGATTTTTTAATATATTTATAAACAGATAAATCGTAACGACATTAACTGTCTGCTATGTATACCCGTAAAGCATTTTAATTAAATGCACATATTGATTAAATGTTGTAGTTTGGTTTCCAAGCAAACGATACACTTAATATAAACAGCAGTACGTTCAATTGTAAAACATAATAGTAACTTTTGCGAAATTAAAAACATATTTATGCAATGCAAATAAAAGATATATTCATACAATACCATACATACATAAAATACCCTAAAATAATTTAGTTTACTCCAAAGACAACAAAATACATACAGAAAGCATAAATAAATTAAAGTAATTCCCTTAAAAAATTATGATAAAACGAAGCAGTCTGACATTTTAAACCGCAACCCGAGACTTGTCACAAAAACTTAGCAGAGTTGTTCTTCAATTGAATTTTGAAATAATATTAACCGTAAATCTAAAACAAAACATTTAATCAGATTATTGGTGTACAATTTTTTGGCAAATATCAGCTTCCGATTCTGATCTCAAGAAAAAGCAGAACGATGCTATATATTGCGAAAAGAAAACCAACAACGGAAATTAAATAATGAAATCAAAGAAAACCGGTAAAAAGTTTGTCATTCGCAGATAATAAACAATTAAAAACCAAAAACACTTAGTGTAAATATTGTAAAAAAACAAAAATATAAAACCCTACTATAATGTATGTATGAATGAGGCAGGATTGGCGATCCTTCGCCCGTATCCTTGCTGCATTGTAGGCGATTGGCATTTTAAAGTAGTTTACAACTCATTCTCACTGGAAGTTTTGATTCCATCTTCGCCAAAAAAAAGAAACAAAAACCACAAAAAAATTTAAAACACACAAGTCGAAATACCGGCAGACATACATACATACATACTCGTACATATTTTGATCCAAAGTTGTACCATTTCCAAGATATGGTTTACCTTTTTAATAAAAACATATAAACTTAGAACGTTAACTACGACTTAATGTATTTGCCTGTAAGCAGTTTTACAACATACCCCCTTACTAACTTACAGCAGAAATGAAACAAAAACAGAAACAGAAACATAAACAGAAAAGCTCGCTCACAGCATGCAAATCCACAAAAACCTAGGGGTTTTTATTCCACAAGGACGAGAGGAGCAAATACACAACCACTTTTTCCCAAGAAAAAAACTAAAAAATAAAAAATTATGTGAAATTTGTTTACGTACGTATACATGCAGACGCATACAACATAAGAAAACAAAAACAAAAAGTAACTGAACTTTAATAAATACAAATATTACGGAATAAACCGTTCAATCATTTTTGAAGGGTTCCCAAGGGTGAGTTTTAAAGATAGTACTGACGGTCGTCCAAGTAAGTTATAAGCAGCACTCGTAGGCTACTATATAGGGTATATATATTCCATATGTACTAAAAGATATCAGATACTTTGGGCGTTGCATGCTGCTTCGTCACTGGAGTTTCACTCCCTTCAAGAGGTTTATTTTGTTTGATGGTTGTTACGAAATTGTCTATTATTTTAGATGGATTTAAATCCGATTTATATCCGATTTATATCATTAAATCGCCTAAATTTGCTGGATTGCTAAAGCATCTTTCGGCTTGTTTGTTGTGCTGGTCTTTAAGTTCGTTCTCTTCATTGTTGTCCATAGAAACAAACGACCATGCGCACATCAGGTTCCGTGAGATGAAAAATTGAATCCGTCGTTGCAGTGGCGGAAAAGGCGATAAGAACCGTATAGTTTTCGGGTAAGAGGCGGATGTGCCTGTCCGGATATACATACCTACATACACATATATGGAGCATCGCAATGGATCCGGCAGTTCAAACTTATTGTTATCATGCAGAAGGTAGATGGGCTCAGATACAGGTTGAAAAGGACAACAGGCTTTTATTAAATAGTTTTCGGCCTTTGAAAAGTTCTTGCCGATAGTTTTGGAACAGAAGACGCAATATAGTTCAAGACGCAATATCTCGGGGGCGCGAGTACTGGGTATCGGCCAGTCTTTAGGCGCGTACTCCGCATTCCACCGAGTCCCTTTTGAAATCCATTTTGGCCAGCATGCATTTATTTACGGGCCTGGCTGTTTATTTTCCGAAATAACATCTCACTCGCCGAGAAATCACTCAAAACTTGTTTTGTATTGAGCACTCGCAGCATGGAGGAAGCGAAATGGAGCTGAGACCTGGAATCTCTGCTCTCGCCGATACCCCGGTGTGCTCAAACATGTTTAGTGCTGTATCTACTTGTATTTTGATATACATAATTGTAAAACCCGAAGAACTCGGCGACTTTACTCTGGTTACACAATGCGTGGTCATTGTTTACATTCCGTAAAAGTACACACATACAGAACGAGTATGGGGTGTAGCTGAGAATGCACCCAGATAAATCAGAGGCTTATCTTATCAGTGATATAGGCAGTGCTGCGAGGCACATTTATTGATTGTGTGTACATATTTATGGCCATTGCCTGAGATTAATTAGTCTAAAAGGAGGCTCTCGTCTCCGCACGGCATCCCCCGTTGCCGCAGCCGGAGCCGTAATGCACTCTTCCCGCCCCATCAATCATCATGGGAATGCTTGTATTTTCTATTTTCCTCGCTGATAAGACGCCTGTTTATATTTATTTTTAAAATCGACTCTATTTAAGGGCTCTGGAAAAGTCATACACTGTCAGTGAACCATGGGGCGATAGCTAAGCAAAGAGAAAACAACTTGCTTTCCACCATCCCGAGATATTTACTAAAAAATATGCAAAGCATGCTTTTTATCTGGGAGAGCGAGCTACGCACTAAGATACTCCGTGGTCTTGGCAAAAATCAACACTCCTTTAGCCGGCACATAGCCCGCTGAGGTGGTGTCCAGACTTTTCTCTCTGTGCACATATGTATCTTGAATCTCTCCGCCGCTCGCTCGCCCTCACTTCCTCCCAACGTATCTCTCGGGTGAGCGGAATTTCGAGCGCATTTGGAGCCCGGTTGCGTTCAAAGGCATTTCGCCTACTCAGTCTGCTCCGAACGAGCGTGACGATCGCAAGCCGCCTCAGTCTTAGGAAAACGATTTGCTCAAGGTGTTCCTTTGTGCTTTGTGGTAACCAAAAAAAAAGTAACTTGCAACTTGCACCTGAAACCGAAACCCAAACCGCCTCGCGCCGCCTCCTCTCCCCACATCTCTGGAGACTTGAGTGAGTTTTATCTTGTGCCTTATTTTATGCGATTAGTGCGCGCGCAGCATTCGACACCACCCCAATCCCGCAATCCTGCAGAGAATCGCGTCGAGTGAAAACTACCATATAAGAGTAACCCCAAACGGATAGCGAATGCAGGCTGGAGGTAGGCGGTTGCCTGGTCCAAATTTAATTCAGAAACTCAAGTGCATTTTCCATTTGCTAATGCTGTACAGACATTTCTTGTCCACATGTTGACCAGATGTGTTACCATATTTTGTTTGGCTGAGATTTCCGTGTTTTTTAAACCATTATGGGCTTACATGTGTTTGATTTTGTGGTGGAATTTATGTCATCAAATCAGGCTGCTAATTTTATTTTATAGTATAGTAGGCTAATCTTATAAAGCTTCCTGTCCAGTGCAGTTTACCACAGATTACCACAAATGGTAGTCGTCGGGACTCGAATGATCGAACTAATGTCTTGAGGGAATAATAAACCCGAACTCTATGGAGCTATACTCCGCAGAAGGTCTAATGTACATGGTGGGTCTTTTATCAAAGGGACTTGGTGGGTCATTATATCCTGCTTGGTGCTGGAGGCCCTCTTTTCTGCCTATAGGAGAAAAAGAGCTTTACGAGTATGTGCCGTGATTTTTTGGGAGACAGGGTGTAGTGAACCTTCCCAGTGTTTCCTGGGGAAGTAGGTTTCCTTGTTATAGGGTATCATCCACTACTCCCAGACCAGGACAGTTGTCAGTTTTATAGCAGTCAGACTACTGCTTTTTGTTGCGAAATCGGGATCAGTACGCGGAGTATGGTTTGCTTTCGGTCTGGTTATTCCAGGAATCCGAGTCATGGGTAATACCTAAGTCCTGTTCGGAGGTGCTGCCAGAGATGCTCATGTCGCTCGCTTTATAAGAAATATCGTCCACTACAGAGGAAGTTTGGTCAGAATTGGTTTCTTTGATGTGAGTTTCGGAGCGAGATATTCTGATGTTTGGAATATTCTTAAATTTAATGTTTACTCTTATAGTATCGAGTTAAAACTGAGGCTGATGGCATTGGATGTTTGGCTGGAAATGTGTTTGGTTACTAGATCGTGCCTTTTCAAGAAATAACGTCATTCCGAAATCAGATAAAGGGAGAAACGAGAACCTAGAAGAGAATGGGTCGTGCGATTTTGAAACAAACAAGGTGCTTGAATACACAGAAACCAATCTAACAATAACAACAGTCGCTCGAGTCGGCTGCCAAAGGGGTCATGTGTCGGTTACTCGAACCAAACTGCCTGCGATGCGATTTTATTATTTTTTTGGCCCCCAAAGGGACGGACAATTTATGGCTTATATGCTGCTGGAGCGTCCACATACACACACATGCTAATTGCACACACATACACTTACAGAAGTAATCTCGGACGCTATCGATTGGATTCTGAAGTGGTCATGACTTCGACTCCCGTATTCCGTGCTCCGTATCCATATCCGTTCGTTTATGGGTTATGACAAACTGCCGAAAGAACATTTTTGCTAATAGGAAATTTTTGTTGATTTATTTTTGGATTGAATACATTTATTGGGAAAAGGGTTGAGTCTGGGGGTCCTTTAAAGGCGTCACATGAAAATGTAATCGATAACGCTAATTCTTACATATGAATTGTTAAGAGAAGAATGGAAAGATGGAGGAAGGTTTAAATATGCTGAAAATAGATTATTTTTTATTATTTACATATATGTATGATATGTTTGATTTATAAATCTATTTTATACATCCCTCTATCGAGCCCCCTGGTTCTTTAGCCACCTAAAATACCTAAAATAAAATGGTACCTAAAATACAATGATGGCAATTGAAATACTTTTCAGAAATCACCATTAAGCCATGAATCTCATACTGAAAGTGACCACCTTTGTTCAGCTGGCGCTGCTAGTAATGCTGGCTCAGATTCCCGGGACCATTCAAGGTAAAGAAGTAACCGGTGATGGTGTTCGCCTGGTAATGAAGACCCAATCGGGTAACATTATGCACCTGCGAGCGGCCCGAGGAGCTCTGGAGGAGGAACCCGCATCTGTGGCAGGCTCAGCATCGGAGACGCATCGAGGCAGGAAGAACCGAAAACTGAACAAGTCCGAGGATCATCTTCAAACGGGTGGGGGTCACAAGTCAGGCAACAGAAAGCCCCAGTCGAACGCGGACAACGCCCAGCCTGCTCAGCCAAAGCACAAGCAAGGACACAACAAGAACTCCGAGAAGCAACATCGTCAAGGAGATGCCCAGCAGAAGCAACAGCACGGACACCACAGACCCGGCAAGAAAGCAGGAGCCGCTGGAAAGAACCCCGAGAACGGTAGGGTATTAAATTAGGGGTATTTTAAAAACATATTAGAACATATTCATTGCAGCATCCTCTTGTCGGTATGCCAAGAGCGCCTGGTCGGAGTGCGATGCCAAAACCAATATGCGCACCAGGGTGTTGTCGTTGAAGAAGGGGGAGCAGAACTGTCTTCCCACCAGGACAATTCAGAAAAAGTGCAAGAAAGGTGGGTTGAGTACAGCTGAGTTTGAGTGTGGGCTTTGTTTAACATTTAGTGGTCCAAAATAAAGCTACAATACTATTGAAAGAGCATTATGGCAGTTCTAAGGTGGACTTTTCTAAAAGCATAACATTCCCATCAGTTCCCAATTTCCACAATTTCTCTATAATCATCTCCTACGCCTTTAAACACATTTTGATTCATTTAAGCCAACTCATTATAACGTCTAATTAGGCCCAAAGGCATTTGCTGTTGCCCGTTCCGATTTCAATTTCAGTTTCAGCTCAATTTCTCGTTGACCTATTTACGCGCCATGTCTGTAAATCGAATGGCATCTTTAGCCGCAGTCCTTAAAGCCTTTTGGCAGCAGCATAGGCCCTCCAATTAGAGGCGAAAAGAATGGGTTCCAGCGGCAATGCTTGAACAACGACCTCCTCCCCCATTAATGCTCTCAATTAAGTTGGCCTTTTGCGCAAAATGCCGCATTTCCTGTAGCCCCCAGCCCGAAACAATAGAATGGCAAACATTTTACTCGAAATCATTATTTTGTTTAGGCTGCCGATACGAGAAGGGAACCTGGTCGCCATGCAACAACGGCCAAATGACCAGGGAGGATAAGCTTCAGACGGAGGCCAACGGTGGACAGGCCAGTGACCAGAGCTGCGATGCCGTGCGAAAGGTCAACAAGAAGTGCAAGCCGGCAGGAAACTCTGGCGAAAGAAAGCACAACAACGGCTCCAATCGCAACCAAAAAGAGAGGAAACAGAAGGAGAAAGGTACTATCCATTATTTGAGTCACAAATCCGTATAATAATCCTTCTTTTTGGCAGGGTCTCGCCGTCTCTCGTCCAACGTTTGAGTCTAAGCCTTAAGAAAAACACACCCACACAATCAAAACAAATTAATAGAAATAATTTTATAAACGGTTTTATAGAATTTAGTCATATATTTTTGTAAAAACATTCAAAACATGGTTTTTCATTTATATCTTTTAGAGATTATGCATTGTTTTATTCGAAAACTTCTTAAAAATTAGATGGAACAAAAATTAATGGTTTTGAACAAAAATGAAATTTGATTTGATGGAAGCTTCAGTCACTTAGCTTTTAAACAAAAGATTAGTCCCTTGTTATGCAGATTGGGCAAATGTGATGGAACGTATTGGATATGGATTAGTCCTCAGATCAAGTTAACGTTGGTTATTGGAAGACAAGTTACCAGGACCGCCGCCGAACGAGGCATTCGATGATCCTGCGAATCCTCCGCCGCCCCCTCCTCTGTGGTTTGAAAACGATTCTGAATTGTAACTTCTGCCTCCACCTTGGGAGCTATTGTTGATGTTATTAAATCCAGTAGACCTAGAGCCGAAACCACTACTGCCACTTCCTCCACCTCCACCAAATCTTCCTGGCGTGGAATTGAAGTTGTTGAATCCACCTGACCTACCGGCACCGCCGCCTCCGCTATTGAATCTTCCACCACCTCCTTGATTGCCCATTCTATTGGAACCTCTGCCACCTCGATTGCGATCTCTGCCCCCTCCAGCATCGCGGGCCAAGCTCTCCAGTTCCGGATTCACATTCTGATTGGCCTCGCGCAGAATTTCTATCAGCGCCCGGGCACATTTGGCATTCTTGCGCGTGAAGAAGGCATACGACGTACCTGTCGAGTGCTGTCGACCTGTACGCCCAATGCGATGCACATAGTCCTCCGAGGACTGCGGAAAATCAAAATTAATGACATACTTGATGCCATCGACGTCGAGTCCACGAGCGGCTACATCGGTGGCCACTAAAATATTGTGTCTCCCGTTCCGGAAATCATTTAGAACACTGTCCCGGTCCATTTGGGATTTGTCCCCGTGAATGGAGCCCACTCCAACACCAAAGGCGTTGATGAAGCGCGCCAGTTCGTCGACCTTCTTCTTGGTGGCCACAAATATAATAATTTTTCCCGGCGCATTGGACTGGTCATAGATATGGGACAAAAGATCCTTCAGCTTGCCTCCTTTTTCATGCTCGGCACATACCTCAACAAACTGGCGGATATTGTGGTTGGCTGATAGCTCCAAAGAACCGATATTTATCTAAAAGAACACAAATTTTTATACTCGATCAGTCTTTAATATCAGCCTGCCCACCTGTATGTAGTTGCCCAGAAAATCCTCGGCAAGTTTGCGTACTTCCTTGGGCCACGTGGCACTCCACATTAGAATCTGGCGGTCTGGGCGAATCTGTCCCAGGATTTTCCGTATTTGCTGCTCAAAGCCCATGTCCAACATGCGATCGGCTTCGTCCAGGACCAAGTACGTGCACCTCTTCAGATTTGTTGCCCCGCCTTGTAAAAAGTCCAACAATCGTCCTGGCGTAGCAATCACAATCTGCACTCCACGTTCCAGATCATTGGCCTGCCTTGAGCGCGGTGCCCCACCAAAGATACACGTATTCCTCACATAGGCACTCGAGCCAAAGTCATTGGCCACCGACTGGATCTGCTGGGCCAGTTCTCGAGTGGGGGCCAAGACTAGGGCGATTGGACCGTCACCACGCTGCAACGGCTGCTGGCCGTTGATGTGCAGAATGGCGGGCAGGATGAAGGCTAGGGTCTTTCCGGAACCTGTCTTGGCTATACCCACCATGTTGTGGCCAGACATGGCTATCGGCCAGGCCTGGGCCTGGATGGGCGTGGGTTCCGTGTAGCGTTGTCGGCGAATCTCGTTCATGCAGTAGTCGGGTAGGCAGACTTCGTCGAAATTCTGGACAGGATTAGGCGCCTGGCCACGAACAGTTATCTGGTGTTGGCCTCTATACGCTTCCACATCCTGGGCAGAACGATTTCGGGTGGTTGGATGCTCCCGATAAAACTGTTTCTCGAAGGGAGTCAACCTTACCTCTGTCCAGTTGACGCCACGTAGGTCTAAATGACAATATATATAAAGTAATTTCACGTATAATAATTTTTTGGTTGTATTCTTACCCGAAAAATTATCATTAAAACCTCCTCCTCCCCCGCCACCACCTCCTCCACCACGATTGAATCCTCCGCCTCCGTTTCTGCGTCGGGGACTGCCGCGTCTGTCACGTCTATCTACGCGGCCTGAATGCACTGAAAAATGGTTAGACCATATAGATCCAGATATTTTGGATTTAAAACAGCAGTCCAATCCACTCACCTCCTCCACCGCCCCCGCCAAATCCTCGATTAAAGCTGCTGCGTGGTGGCGCCATCGTTTTCAGGGTCTCCCTGCTGCGAAGCCTTCCCTGCCGGTAAAAATAACTTTACTCTATTTAGATAGTAAATTCCGAAGGCCCAGGCATTCACTCCGAAAACTATTCCTTACGTGCTGCTTAAATTGTATGCTATGAAAGTTAATTTTCTAGCTACCTACTTATTTTTCTAAAAAGAGTTTTATCAGCCGTATCGTTATTTCCAGTGTCACAGTTCTAAGGAATTTGATAGGGTTGTTGTTAATATCCATGTATCGATATACTTTTTATACAAATGATACTTTATATCGTGATATGGATTTTTCCTTAAACTCGAAAATAATTGTTTTTTTGTTGTATATTTTAGGAGTTTTTTAACTCTTGTTGGTCGAAAAGCTCTTAATTTAATGCTAAGTGGCAGCACTAGGATCCATAGGGCTGCCAGAAAATTGGGCTGGCGTCAGCACGAGATTTATCGATATCAAGTTTCGAAGTATTGCCACGTTTGAAACTTGGCGGTTTGATATATTTTGTAGTAGGCTTTTGATGCAGAATGGTGGAGAATCGATCCAGAAATCGTTTAAGATACTCCGCTTGAGAATCGGATAAGAATTGGGAAAAATATAGCCATAACTGTGGGCCATATAGGGGAAAACTCCACTTTCAAGTGATCCCATCACGAGAAATGGACAAAAAATTAAAAAAATATTTTTTCTCAGGATTTTGATGCAGAATGGTGGAGAATCGATCCAGAAACCGTTTAAGGTATTCCGCTTGAGAATCGGATGAGAATTGGGAAAGATATAGCCATCACTGTGGCCCATATAGGGGAAAACCCCATTTTCAAGGGATCCCATCACGAAAAATGGACGAAAAATCTAAAAAATATTTCATCTCAGGATTTTGATGCAGAATGGTGGAGAATCGATCCAGAAACCGTTTAAGGTATTCCGCTTGAGAATCGGATGAGAATTGGGAAAGATATAGCCATCACTGTGGGCCATATAGGGGAAAACCCCATTTTCAAGGGATTTCATCGCGAAAAATGGACAAAAAATGAAAAAAATATTTCATCTCAGGATTTTGATGCAGAATGGTGGAGAATCGATCCAGAAATCGTTTAAGATACTCCGCTTAAGAATCGGATGAGAATTGGGAAAGATATAGCCATCACTGTGGCCCATATAGGGGAAAACCCCATTTTCAAGGGATCCCATCACGAAAAATGGACGAAAAATCTAAAAAATATTTCATCTCAGGATTTTGAGCAGAATGGTGGAGAATCGATCCAGAAATCGTTTAAGATACTCCTCTTGAGAATCGGATGAGAATTGGGAAAGATATAGCCATCACTGTGGGCCATATAGGGGAAAACCCCATTTTCAAGGGATCCCATCACGAAAAATGGACGAAAAATCTAAAAAATATTTCATCTCAGGATTTTGATGCAGAATGGTGGAGAATCGATCCAGAAATCGTTTAAGATACTCCTCTTGAGAATCGGATGAGAATTGGGAAAGATATAGCCATCACTGTGGGCCATATAGGGGAAAACCCCATTTTCAAGGGATCCCATCACGAAAAATGGACGAAAACTGTGGGCCATATAGGGGAAAACCCCATTTTTAAGGGATACCATCACGAAAAATGGACAAAAAATCTAAAAAATATTTCGTCTCAGGATTTTGATGCAGAATGGTGGAGAATCGATCCAAAAATCGTTTAAGGTACTCCGTTTGAGAATCGGATGAGAATTGGAAAAGATATAGCCATCACTATGAGTGATGGGGTCCTTTATCCCCATATAGGGGAATATATCCTTTAGCTGCCATATAACTGAACTATCGAAAATTACCCTACTTTATTGTAGATAGAAGCTTGGGACTTTGGGTTCAAGTCACTTACCGATGTATATATCAGATTTACTCGTGGAAAAGTAATCCTAATAAAAGTAATCTGCGAACCAAACTTCATTACAAAAGGTCTCTCCCACATACAAAATATAAAATTACCTCTCCCTCGGTTGGTCAATTCAAAAATGTCAAATTCTATAGTGGCTAATTCTTGACGAAAACTGAATCTTTCCTATTCTAATTGTTGAGTCGATCGAGAGAGGACATTAAAAGCGGGACAGGACGGGACTGGAAGAAAGGGAAGGCAGAAGCAATCCCAAAGGATCAGATCAGATCGTATCATCTGGAAAGTAAAAACTGCCAATGACAGCCACAGCCATAGGGCGGCTATTTTATGGATGCCCGCGGATTGGTCGCAAGCTCATCGACACATCCCGGACTCTGACCTTGGGCTTGTGGCGCACCATGGTCCTCACTGTGACGGATCGTGATCGGGATGCGGATCGCGAAAGAGTTTGCTTAAAATCGGGCGATCATCCCAGTATAATGGAGGATCCGACAATAAGGCAACCAAATTTATGTTTCGGGTTAATTCTGCACAATCGGAGTATACCCAACATGGTGTACATGGCTAACAGACGACACTACTCCACCTATGAGAAGACTTCAACGCAGATCCTCTCGAAGCTCTTTCCCCAGACCTCGGAGGAACCCAATGACAAGGAGAGCCGAGAGCGCCGCCGTCGCGAGGAAGAGGAGGAGCTTCAGGAAATGGAGCGAGCCTGGAAGCGGATGAAGCTCGGATTCGGCGTTTTTAGCATTGGTGGTCTGCTTTTCTCGTTTTGGGCTATATATCATTTTGGAAAGCCGAAGGTGGATGAGAAGGGCAACGAGGTGTTGGACGAGTTTAGCAAATTGCCATTGGCGGAACAATATATGGCTCGAACGTGGAAGTCGGTTAATAACTTCCAGCGCTTTATTCAGGAGCCATCCAGCCAGAAGCTTTTGCCGGAGCCCCTGCAGGCTCCGTATGTCCAGCCACCGTATACGCTGGTCCTTGAAATCAAGGATGTCTTGATGCATCCCGATTGGACCTACGAGACGGGTTGGCGCTTCAAGAAACGGCCCGGTGTGGATGTGTTTTTGCGTGAGTGCGCCAAGTACTTCGAGATCGTGATATATACGGCGGAGCAGGGCATCACAGTATTTCCCCTGCTGGATGCCCTCGATCCAAATGGGTATATTATGTACCGTCTGGTTCGGGACTCGACCCACTTTGTGGGCGGACATCATGTCAAGAATCTGGACAATCTAAATAGAGATCTGAAGCGGGTAGTGGTGGTGGACTGGGATAGGAACTCTACTAAGATGCATCCCAAGAACTCTTTCTCAATACCGCGTTGGTCTGGCAACGACGATGATACGACTTTGTACGATCTGGTCTCGTTTCTGAGCGTCCTGGGCACCAGCGAGGTCGACGATGTGCGCGAGGTCCTGCAGTACTACAACCAGTTCGAGGATCCAATATCACAGTTCCGGGAGAATCAGCGCAAGCTCAGCGAGCAGATGCAGGCGGACGAGCTGGAAAGGAGGAGCAAGACCCAGCCGATCGTCAAGAGCTGGACTCGTGGCTTCATAAAGCATTAAAAAGGTTGTGGTTCTCCTGATACGTCTGTGACTTTTGGTTTTCATCCGATTTTGTTAGTAATTTCCCAAGTAATTCAAAACTGACAATACATTTTTTGCAAAAAATCAAGAAATTAATTAAACATTAGTTTCGTAAACACACAATGAATTTTCTTAACACGATAAGTTTCAGTTTATCCGGGGAATTTGACGGTCAAAAGTCACTAATTTACCCTCCAGCTTGTGCAATTGGCTCGAAAAGGTGTGTATGATCTGGCAGAGGTCCCTGCTCTGGGCTTCCCATTGTTCACATGACTGGCTATCGCACTCGTCCATGCTCCCGCGCAATTGCCTCTTCAGGGAGTTGAAAGCCAGTTGCTCCCTCTTCAGGGTCTTCCTGATCTCGAACTGTAGCAACTTGACTTCGTTGGAGAGTTGTCGCCGGCGCCTCAGGGACAACTGGCACTTGCAGGTAATGACAATCAACAGGACCCAGATAAGCAGGACGGCCCAGAAGAGACCCGGCCTTTCGATTCCAGTGAAGTATGTACGAACGTGATGGAATATCGTTGATCCAGTCGAGAGAAGCCTCTCCAGACAGGACATTGGGACGACGTCGTTTACGATTTATGTGTTCTAATTTTTGGAGCGGCTCTGACATCTAGCTTATGGAAGTACATGCCCAAAGCCAATTTAGTTAAAGCTGTCAAACACATAGAGGTGCTTGTAACAGTTCACAACTATAAACTCTTTAAAGACTCAAACCCAGGTCCAAGGATACCAAGAAAGGGGCAACAAGTTACAATAAGATTTAAAAGAAAATTTAAACACTCTTCCAATTTAAAAACCATCGTCTTGGATCAGATAATATTCAAAAACGCTGAAAGCAATATGGAATTGCCAGCGTGATATGATTTATTGTCCCCCACCCCAGACCCAGACACGAGTCCTGTTTTTAAACCAAATGGAGCATTGTTAAATGTGAGAGTTCAGACAGAGGCTCATGTCGCTGGCGAGGGAAACAAGCTCAATTATCATGGCACTGGCAAGCTGCACATTTCGCACATGTTTACTTGTTTCCTCGTAGATTGATGTATTTTAGTCCTGGCCACCGCCTCTCTCTTGCGGCCCCCTTTCTTGCGGAAGCCCCTTCCTCTCGATATCTGGCGGTGACAGTGACAGATTTGAGTTACATGCAAAAGCCCCGGCCCAGTGCTCGTTTTGCCCACATTTGTTACTTAAGCAGTCGCTTCCCAATATCCCAATTCTGGACTGACAGAGCAGCCAGCCATTCGAGCGGCTAGTCTTTTTGGTAACGCCATTGTTATGTAACTCATTTAAATATTTTACAAGGCGCATATGGCATTAGGAGCCAGCCCCGCAGGAAGGACATTTTCTTCGTTCCTTTAAAACTGCTGACAGTCTGCCTTCAATTTAATAAACGCCATCCGGCAGCATATAAACACCCTGTCATTGTCGCCGTTGAAAGATGTGCTGCTAATATGCAATATAAATACAGGACCTCGACAGTGCTCAGCCAGGAAAACAGGACTATCAGAACCCACAGGACCAGGACCACGCAAGCTCAGCAACATGTTGCATATTCGGATCTGTCACTGTGTGAGTGAACACGTGCCAAAATAAAGGCCGACTCATAGGTCGTGTAAAAAGTCCCCTCTACTATATACTATGGGTCCGAGAGTTTCCACAATCAACAATTACGCACTCCACACCACTAGGTGGGTCATGCGCACTGAGCGAGGGGAAGCCTCTCCAAACATTCGTCAAAATCTGAAGCACAATATTATTTCAAATGTTGCAGAGATGGTTCTGCTCTCAGGATGCTGGGCTCTTGTAAACAAGTTTTTTTTTAAGGACTGAATGAGATCTAAGAATCTAAGAGCTTAGAATCTAATATAGTATAACAGATATAATCAATCGTTACTCCTTATCGAAGGCACCTTTTCTTCAGCCATGCATAAATATTTTCAAAATATAAATATTATTTATTAATATTATAAAACTTGGTAGTTTTTAAAAAAAAGATTCCTACATCCAAATTTTTTATCTTACCAATTCTCTTTTAGAATAAATACATTCTGAAAAAGTTCTTACATTTATTTTAGTATATGAGTTTTATGGAACATAAATGGAAAATCTTTTTTTAAAAAACCTATATTTAGAAAAAATGGGACTGAATTTATTAAAATATATTCACCCGGCTTCCAAACAGTTCATCCAAACTATACAAAATTGCTCATCAGTTTTAACCAGATTAGGCTTCAACAAGTTGGGTTGATCCGTAACCCGGATTCCTGACTGTCTCAGGTGCACGGTGCACATGGGATAATGCATGGAGGTATAGCTGCGGATGGCGTGGAAATGTCAAAACGTGGCTTAGAGATGCGCAGGCGCCGGATTTGTTTGCCACGGTGTCTGCTCTCCGCTCCGGACTTGGGACTTGGGATGTGTCAGAAGATGGCCAGCATCCTGGCGGGAAGGTGAGGGGAAAGAAGGACTTGGGTCCGTACCACGGGCTGCTTGGCTGGAATCGCGAGCGCGGACAAATTCAGTTTGGTTTTGACGTAACGTACGGAACGTTTGGGTGTCGCACTCTCCTCGCATGGAGGAGCACCACTGCACACAATAGGCACTTCGAGGATACGCGGATACTACAAAACGCATGACAGTATGTGTATATATGTTTTTGATTGTGTGATTAGTATCCAAATATGGGAAAAATGGCTTATTAAGGATGCACCTTGGCAATCTGCATAAATTTGTATTTATTATTTGTGTGGCAGTTTAGTGTCGGGACTCCGGGATTCAAGTGTTCTTTTTGCGAGCGGGTGCGTGTGCCATTAACTGCACCACTGGGGAAACACATCAGCCCCACCCATCCGAGTCTGTTCCTTTTCCATTTTCCGTCTCTACGGCTGAAATTAGTCAAGTGGATGGATTCCCATATTAATGCAGGATGCCCCTTTGTGGCATCCTTCACAGCCACACCCTAAAGCTGAAAGTGAGGCGATGCTCCGCATACTGCACAGGCACGAAGCCAGAGCCAGAGCCAGAGCCAGCATAGCCATTAATCGGAAGTGGATGGCTCTCTGACAGGCCCCTTTAAAATTTAAGTATCGCATAATGAAGTGTCCACTCGTGCAGGCGTGTGCGGAATACGTTTAAAAATACAACCAGCTTTAAGCTGAAAGAGTGATGACACCAAAAGTCAGTGGGATTAATTACTCATGCGGAATAAAGTGATGCGAGTTGGGGCAGATGACTATGGTGAGAGTGGGGCGTGTGGGGGCATGTTAAATCCAAAATCAGATTAAAACCAATTGACTTAGCAAATGGCTGAAGATAAGGATTTTCTATAATTTTTAATAAGGGGAAGGTGTTAAATATGGATAGGAGTACTTTTATGTTTTATTTTATAGGGTTAGTAAAGTCCTTGCTAATTAATACCCACTTTTATGAGATGGCCAAACTATAACTACTTTTCGAGCTCATTATGCCTTCACACCATAGTTCTTTCGTCGTTAATTCAGTTGGGTTTGCCGAAAGTAAAAGTTTGCCCATCAATCACAGGCGATTAGCATCGTTATCGTCGTAGTCTAAAAAGGATGACAACCGAGACCTATTTGGACTTGACCTATGACCGAGGCAAGGGGTCGAAGCGGCCCCTGAGACCAAAGCTATTAAAGTTGACGGATGTGACGATACCGCACCGAAGCCGAAAGAAAAACAAAGTCAAGGTGAGCCGTAAAGTTTACATTTTGAGTTTCAACTTTGGAGGCTTATACTTTCGGAATGTTTACAGACGAAGGACCGGTCGGCCACTACTGTGCGGGAAAGGATATACGATGACCCAGCATACACGGAGGACATAAGTCACTTGGCGAATCCCATGCGTAGAAGTAGTATTTCGGGGAAACCGGATCACAAGTCCGTCGGTGGATCGAAGCACCAGCTGGCCAAGGAGCTGCATCAATATGTGACTGGAAAGCAGGGCAAGCTTAAGGGCTCAGGGGGAGCTGGTGGAGGACCAGGAGGTGGAGCAATTGGAGCCGGACCAGGAGCAGTCTATGACTGCGATTCCAGCAGCTCCGACAATGAACCCCTGGAGCCAATGAAAGCCACCAGCAGCATGACCCGTCGAGTGCGCAGTCTGGAGCGGAGCTTGGATATTTCCATGGACAAGAAGTCAGCTCCGAAACGCAGCTCCAAGCAAAAGCGTAACCTTAGCCTCGACAACAGTCGCCACCTGGCCACCAGGGCGGAGGGTAAGCAAAGCCAGGATATGCGACGGAAGCTTCCTCCCGAAGCCGGCCAAGCAGAGGATGACGTTTACTCCACCCGTAGCTCAGCCCAGGAATCCGCTGCCACACTGCCCGTGGAAGCGGATGCCGCCACCAAGTTGGCCATTGGAAAGCGCTTCCTCCGGGGCGAAATTGGTATAAAAAGCTTTAACTATTACCTCCTGAAAGAGGGGCTCAAGAGCTCCAAAAAGATTGACAAGCCGGGACGCAACGAAGCCAAGCTGCAGTCTCGCAGCGAGGAAAACATTTATGAGGAAATCTTCTTCAAGGACACCCCGAAAGAGACCAATGTTGTCCTGCCGGAGAAGGAGGGACAGAACCACCTGCCAGCCAGTGAGGAGTGTGAAATCTGCATGGAACAGTGCAGCAAGGACAACTGCGAGTTCTGCTTGGCAGGAAGTAAGCTCATAATGCAGGTGCAGCCCCAGCAGCAACAGCACCCGCAGCTCCAGGAGAGCCAAGGACCTGCGGCTGGGGCATCGGCCCTACCAGCTGCCCACATCTTAGAGTTCCAATCGTACAATCCCAACAACCCTGGCGTGTACAAGATAGAGACCACCCCAGTGGCCATAACCGGCGACTATAACCCCATCCTTCAGTTCCAGCAATCCTCGGCCACCACCTCCACATCAACCACCACAACTCCTAGTGAGCAACATCTTCAGCAGCAGATCTACGGTGGCTATTACCTGCCCCACCTGCCGCCCAATCAACGGTCATATCACCCCTCCCTGGTAGGGAATCCAATCACCAATCATTATGCAACTGCAGGGGGAAGCTTGTTGCTCGCCCAGGTGACTGGAGCTGCGACTCCGCCAAGAAGACCCCAGCAGCAGCAGCAACATTATATCCTCGGGACCTTCCAGAACGGAGGAGCTGCACCCGGTACTGCCTCTGCCGGAGCCGCATCCTTGCAGCGACTAAACACCAAGTCCTCCTCCTCTAGCGACTCACTACCCTACCATAAGTACAACACGATGGCGCGGTTGGAGGCCAATGTGTTCGCCTCTCCGGCGACCGGAGATCTCTACTACGCCGTGGGAGGAGCTGCTCCGCTGCACCCTCTGATGTATGCCGCCAGCAGACCCATCGGCGGATCACAGATCCTTGTGGATTCGTACGATCCGCCGCAGATGTACAAGAGCGACTCGAAGGCTTCGATACTCAGCGAGTTCTCTCTCCGGAGCAGCGACAACTCGCAGCGCTATGCCCGGCATCCGCACCGGAGACACGGCGGCGGGAGGGTCAGTGACTCCAGCCTATTCTCCGTGTACTCCAACTCCGGACAGCGTCGGTACTTTGGAAGCTCCGACAGTAGATTCGGCTACGACTGTCGGCGATGTAGCCTGGATGGAGTCATTGGAATGGGAATGGGCATGAGCACAACCGCAGGAGTAGGAGGGGGAGGTGGAAATGGTCATATGGCCACAGCCAATACTGCTCCCGAAAAATGCAGCTACTCTGATAATTGTCGCTACGAGTGTCGCAACTGTGACTGCTCCTCGAATTACTTTAGCTCCGATTTTGATGAAGTCTATGGATCGATAGCTCGCGGAGGAAGTAGCGGCATTCCGCGCAAAACCAAAGCCGGAACACTGCCCTCCAGTGGTCAGGAAGAGCCCCAGATGGAATCCAAGGGCAATACACCTCCGCCCCAGATGGAGCAGCCTTACCAAGCTCCGCTGGATCTGAAACAAAACAAATACGCCCAGGACTTCTTCAAACATGTAAACGATGTCAAGCGCAGTATTTATCAGTCAGAGATGCAGAGAAACAACAGCCTGGAGTCGTCCAGAAGGAATCCCAGGAGCGTTGGCTTGGCTGAAAACAGTAACACCAAGTCGAGTCCCAAGCGGGCTGCTTCCCAAGAACCCAGTCATCCGGAGCCCGTGGTGACTACACTCCCTCTAAGTCGAGGGCGTCCTCTGGCAGGGATGAAGCCCACTCCGGCCCCCAGAACCAGTTTGCAAGCACAACCAACTCCAAGCACATCCTGTGCTCCACGTAAGTGAAGCTTTGCTCCAATATTTGATCGTTAAATAATAAATATTAAATTTCAACAGGAGATCCCACGCCAAGCAAACGGAAAACTCAACCCACTGGTCGGAGGGAGTATCCCTCCTTGGATCGCCTGGTGGCCTCATCCACAGGAACCATTCCCAAGAGACAAAATCGGACAGTAGTTCCGGAGAGGATTACCACTGAACACAGTCAGCCCCAGAGTCCAAAAAATTCGTCAAAGTCTGCTGACAATAGTGTTTCCGTTTCCGAGGAACAGCCTCCGCCAAGTCAAGTTAAGAGACACCATCGATCAGGTGGATCCAAGTCCCACCAGAATGCGCCAGGCCCCTGTTTGAGAAGAAAGGATATTCCGGCACCTCCGCCGCCCTCGCCGGCGACGTACTCCGATCTTCAGGAGTTAAAGGCCAATATGGAGGGATTCCGGGATGACACTAAGTCGCGGAGCGTTGAAAGCGAGTCCAACGAATCGGGAACAAAAACGGTTGTGGAACTTTCTAAACCAGATCCTCCGGATATGAGTGCTCCGGAACTGGAGGACAGCGATGTGTTTTATGATGCCCGGAGCGAAGATTCCGCCGGGGGTATCCTGCCCTCCGACAATGGCAGTGGTTTATCTTCTAAAAAGGTGAGTTTTGAAGGAGAAGTACTTAGACTTTTTAGACTTCTTACTTAGAAGTACTTAGTTTTGAAGGAGAAGTACTTAGAGGTTTTAAGCTTCAAATCGATATTTATCGATAAGTAGTTTTCCTTTTATTTAACTTCTGTTATTCCACCTATTAACCCCAATCGCCCCGTTTATCATTTCATTTTCCATTCAATTTTGTTCGGAATTCGTCTGGGAGGACAATAGAAGCTGATGGGAAAAATATGTGTCAGTAGAGTATTAAAAAAAAGGATATCACGCGGGGGTGGCTGTCCTTTCATATTACTCATACACAGCATTCGACAACAACGTTCCAACAAAATTAAATTGATGGGAGTCCAAGGAAGGGAAGGAGAACTGCATCGGGCGAAAATGAAGATGAATGAGATTTTAATTAAATGATATTTTCTATTTTATAGGGAGCATCCTGCAATGCGACAACACATCAGGCGCCAGTGGACATGGCAGCCGCTGTTGCTGCTGTCAATGGAGGGAACCGCAAGGACGTCGAAATGGCGCATTCCATCGAGGATGTTGTCGTTGTCGAACAGGAGCGGGAGCAGGAGAAGGAGCAGAAAAAGGGTCAGGAGACGGACCAAGAAAAGGACCAAGAGCAGGGCTCAGAGCAAAAGGCAGAACAGGAAAAGGCGTCAGGCAGCGCGGACAGACCGGAAGGGAATACCATTGAGGCAGAGGCCGAAACTGAGCAACAACCCTTGAATCAATCTGTTGAGAGCGATTTGGCCACCCAGCCACAGCCACAGCCACAGCCGCCGCTCCCACTCGGACTCCCACAACCTCGCGTAAGGACACCACCCGAGGAGGACACTGTTTTGAAGGCAAAACACGAAAAGACAAGCAAAACAAAAGCCGAGAAGAAGGCCCCCAGCGGCCAGCAACATGTTGCCGCAACATGTTCGGAGGGGCAAGCCAGTTCACCAATCAACCACGGCAACAAATCCACCAATAGCAACATCACGGCCAGCAGCAACAGCGGCCACGGCAACATCAACACCACCAACACCGTCGAGTTCGATTTCGAGAGCAAAGCGGGCAACACGGACAGCGCAGCGTTAACGGTTTCGCACAGGTACGTCGCGTCCGGATCCTAAGACTCCGTCCCCCCAGTGCACCCCTTGCAATAAAAATAAAAATGTGTGTGTAGTGGCCTGGAGTTGCAGGCCCCAGCTAATCCTCTCCAGCCAGGTGCAAACTCAAGTGTAAACATTAGAAAGCAAACAGAACACTTGTTGTTCTGGCGGTTGAATAAAACTAATTATTTATTTCCGTGTGATAACCGAAGGAGGTTGAATCAAAAAGTAGTGCAAACAGTGACAAATCGGATCTGATCAATAATCAGTGGCAATAATGCAACACAATGTATAGATTTGCAGGAAAACGAGAGTGAAACTGTGTGCGCAGTGCTGCTTTGCGCCACATTTGGTATTTGCACCCATTACCTTGTGTTAGCCCACTCGAAAGCGCCCCCAACCCCCCGTGCAGGTCCATATTTAATGCACTTCCTGGCCAAGAACAACCAGTTATTGCCACGAGCATTTCAAATTCATAAACACAATCGTCAAAGGTGATATAATAATGTGGCGTCTCTCCAAAACAAGTGGTTCGGCCCTAAGAGGCCCATTAAACGGCTCGAGCCTGAGTGGCCCCCGACATCCTTGATGTCCTGTGATTAATCGGGCCGAGTGCGTGGCGGGCTTTAAGTTGTGACCCCTCGACAGCTGTGTGCTCTGGCATTTAAATAACTCGATTGCCTAAAGGACAATGTGCGGGGCACCCAGGACCCCTTTTATTAACAATATCTCCGGGCCAAATAAATTAGCGCACACCTTGCGCGTCAACACCTGTTCGCAGTTGCCCGAGGACATTGCTTGGGTGACAAGGAAGCTTTAAGGACTTTACTTGCGCTTCGCTCATGGAAGGTTAAATTTAATTCAAGTGGTGTTTTCCTTTGATATCTGGCCTACCCACCTTTATACCGTATCCCGTATCCTGTGATTGATATCGGCACATTACGTTTATTAGATTAAATTAATTTGCCGCTCTGCGGTTGCCAGCAGGCAGTGTTTCCACTTTTTCCCCGGCTTCAATAAAATTTTTGACAATCAATAATTTGCGCAAAAAGCTCCGCCCCCTTGCCTCCGCACACACACAGGACACAACACACAGGAGCCTGTGTGCTCGATACGAGCCCGGCATACATAAATCAATTTTGTCCTTTGTTTCCCTTTATTGTGTGGGTATTCAATCATTTACCTATATACTTATGTGTGGGCCCAGGACCCCGGCAGGACTCCCCCCCATCGGGGCATGTGTGTACTCAAAACTGAATTGTTTGCCGAAAAAACAGGAGAAAAGTAATCATTTCATGTCGTCCTTGTAGCCCACGCCTCCCGCTGGTGAAAAGGATGTTTTACAAAGCATTTTTTAAGTACACAAAGTATTTTCACGTGCCATTTGGCGGCGGCGGCAATCCGTCATTTGCCCACCTTCGGGTTAATTTGCTCACTTTTCAATTAGGCGCGTGGATTCAGAGCGCGGCTAATTGCAAACAAGTTCAACTTCAGGTACAGCCAGCAATGGCTCTTAGCCGCAAACCGAAAAGAGTAAAACCAAACCAGGGCCAGCGACAAATCAGAAATCAGCAACTCTACTCGCTTTTGGCCGGGTATTTTGCGAAATTGGTAGACGGATGACCTTCGAAACCTTTAGGCCGTAAAAACAAAAAAGTTTGTTGGCATTTTGCAATTTCTGAAATACTGCAAATTGCAAAAAATCATACACTCTGGGAGCCTATGCCATTTTGTAATTATGAGTTCGATCGCTGCAATGTCTGCCGATATGGTATGGAAAATGTGAAACTCGTTTCCCCTCCTGGCCGCCACTTTTGGCCACATTTGGTCATTGGCTTTCAGTCAATGCCGCTGCAGCTTTGGCTCGTTGCTTGCTGGCTGCTATTTGTTAGCAGAGAAAAGTTACCACATCGTCGAGGCGGCGAAGAAGCTGCTTCTGAGCCCGGCCGAGTCGAAAGTGCAAGTCGTCTAACAGGTATGCGAAGCTAATGCAATCGATTTGCCAGTCTGCGGCTTCGTCCTCGTCCTCGTCGTCCTCGCCCTCAAGTGCTTAGCCAACAAGTGCGGCGCGCAAGTGCGGCTTAAATGATGGAAAAGTAGAAAACCAGTTTTATGATGCATTCAGCACTCAGCATTCGGCGTGCAGCATGCAGCATGCGGCATGCCTCGGCGGCAAATGCAACGTGCTGGGCACTTTCTGTATATGCTTTTAATTTTATTTACGAGCCCCAAAACCGGCAATAGACAGCGGGCCTTGCTCCAAAGAAATGCGGGAAATTGTTTTGTGGAAACTTTCGTCCTCATCGGTGCAACGTAAGAGTTCCACTCGAGCAGCTCTTTAAATTTCAGTAATTTTAACGGAAAAGCCCGCCCAACTGCGAGTTCCGCCTTTAACGCTCAGAACTTACTTCTTTGTTGCATTTTAATCGGAGTAAGAGCTTTCTCTATATCTCTTTAAGTAATACAATTTCCGCAAAAATATACCCATCATGCACATAGAAAGATGAGATTGGCGAGATACACAATTGCATTGAATTATTATTAAAAGGCTGATCAACTTATGATGATCGCTGCATAATGAATGCACGGTCATTAAACTAATTGGAAATTAAAGACACACACTGGCAGACGTAGCACTCCGCATATTTAATGGAAAATGGCACGAGTGCAGGCAACACGATGTTTTTCAAATGTTTAGATAGCCCGAAGAAATAAAAAGTCGACGTGAAGCGCATGTTTGCGGAGAAGTGTAATTAGCGTCGTAAAGTGAGAGTGAGTGGCCCCCACTTCCTCTCTATACGAATGCGAACGCGAATGCCAGGAATGTCCTTTTACTTAAAGCTGAGCAGGATTTAAGCCCCGACTACCTTTTGAGAGCCATAGCTGTGGAAAAGTAAAATGCGATGCAGGAATGCTACTCATTTCCTTGTCAGTCTCCTGGATTGATAATTTAAAGGAAAATGTTTTGTTTGGGGATTTGGGAAGTTGGTGAATTATAAAGGGAAGGATGGAAAAATATATTTAAAATTTAATATTAATCATAATGAATAATATAAAGTTCTGTCTCTAAGCCTTTGTGAAGATTATGGTTTGTATTCAGAAAGTTCTCCCACCATACAACTGTATACGGCTTAACTCTTTAAGATTATTAATTTATTTAAAGAATATCATCTAAAAAGCTAAGTGGGACAGTCATCTCATGTGATTTGAGTTTAATTAATGAATCTCAGTGAGAAATATTTCTGTAGGCCGTTCAGAATGTTTTTTATTTGCCTTAGCCCACGCACTTCAAAACTCTTTCGAAAACCCAATGGGGGCTTTCCAGTTCTAGCAAATACTTATATGGCATTGACATGTTTTTTCGTTGGCTTCAATTTCTCTGCAACTCGTTCTTTTGTAATTAAAAACTGGAAGGAAAATCGGTGCTTTAATGACTCTACTTGGCTTCTTTTAAATTTAATTGTTCGCTTAAGCCAGAAAGTTATATTGAAACCTTGGTTGGCCAGAATTTACGGCCCATAATGCGACGCTTTTGACGCTCAGCTGGGTCCATCCATGTACCAATAATTCCAAAATTGGACTAAAAGTTGTGTAACGCCCCCACAAAGACAAAAAATGACAGGCCGAGGCAACGAACCGAAATATATACACAGGCATACATAATATACATACATATCTGCAGTTGTTGCTGTTGACCATTTTGGAATGACAAGTTTTCAAGTGATTATATTCGAATGCCAAAAGCGACCACTGCTGAAGAGATTTCTTTGGATTTGCGTTCTGAGCCTTCCCAGTTGCCGCTTCTTCGTTGGCGTTTTTTAAATTTTTTTCTAGCCGGCGTACCAGGCGTCTAAGCCACTTAAAAATTCCACCATAACATCAAAGATACATGCGTTGTCGTCGCCAGCCACCCATGAAAGAGGAAGTGAAATGGTGACAGCTCGGAGGAGGACTCCATTTATTGACACGACTTACAAAAACAGACTTCCGGAGGAGTCCCTATCCCAGGATGTATCTCACATTAAGTTATAAGGATGCAGCCTAGTCTCGGCTGTCAAGACACTGTCAATAACACACTTTTCATCTCACGAGTTAGCCCAATTCGAAGTCAAGCTGTGTTTTGTGACACCCACCTTGCACCTTGCAATCGATTCGGATGGGTTTCGAGCATAGCTAACATATATATTAACTGGGTTCTGTGCGCTTTTAGACCAACTGGTTTGGCCACATTTTTTCCCACTCAGACTCACTCACGCATTTACGCCACTCGAGAGTATACGTATTTTCTCAGCCACTTGGCATATACTGCTTAGTTCAGGGTCAAGTTTAGACGCCATTTGGCAGCCTTTCAATATCTGGATCTGGGGAGGCGGTTCTGGATAGCTAGTCATCAAGTATGCGGGCCCTGGGCCCTCGGCAGATGAATGTATTGTCGGAAACCGCATTCTATATCGTCGATGCCAATATTTGGCCACCAGCTAACAGCCACGCCCTGCGCCGCATCCACCAACCAGCTAGTGGCAGCAACAAGGCAAAGCACTTATATGCCATCACAGAGTGCACTTACAAAAATGAGATATCTATTAAAGGGGAATTCTAATCAATCTTACACATATTTACATGAAAAGCCCTGTTCTGTAAGAGATTTCCCTGGAGGAAGATGTCCATTTTATTTTACCAAATTTCATATTTATGAAACATATATTTCTTAGAGTGTATGGAAACTGCAAGAGGCTCTATGAGGGGCTACAGCGTTTACTGCGCTTACTGCAAGATGTCAACGAGTTCAGGCGAGTGCTGAACCGTGTTCCCGGACATTGAACCGTTGTTCGAGCACCGTCGAGGAGGCATCGGCACTCCTCCACTCGCCCGGATCGGGGATTGGATCGGGTCGTTTATCCTAACCATTAAGCCCGTAGACAGGCAGCTGCTTCTCGTTGTTGTACTAGTATATTAGCGCTCAATCGGATAAGGGCTTCTCACTCGAGGCACTCCAATGGAAACGAACTGTTGGTGGGGAGGAACTGTTCGAATGGGTACACGGGTACACACAGTGTCTTGAGGAGCTAGTGAAGATTTCAGATACTGTTGGATTCGCAGGACAGTGACGAGCTGGCAAACCACTTCTGGTCTGGTGAACATGCATTCACATTAGGGCAGCAAAAAGCGTCGATGGATGCTTACGTTCTTTGAAGAGGGTGAAAAACGGTGTCAACCCATTGAACTGATTTTTGGTTCGATGATTGCTGCTTATCTTATTCAAATGGGCGAGGATTTAAGTTTATTCAAAGCTTAGAACAGCTTCATCATAGAAACTCAAACAGGAAAAATGTGAATTGAGAAAACTACGTTCAAGTAGAACTAAAAGAACCAAATGTGGGAGTTTTTGGTTAACATTCCTTCCTTAATGTTTAGAAATGATCGAGGAAATGAGTAGATAATCCAATCAATCAAAAATTCCTATCTATCAAATACCTATTGATCTTGGGGATAAGGGATCTTAGGTCTTCCTTAAATTTAATTTAATTTATTATATAAACTTTTCTTTCAGTGACCCGCCACTCGACGCACTCGTCACTGGAAATCCAACGCCGCCAAGACCACTCACTCGTCAGGACTACGCCTGCCTCGACTCTAGCGAGGCACAGTCGGACGATAGCCACCTAACACGAGACTCCATTACCAGGGAGTCGCAGAACGACGAGCTCTCCTCCTCCACTCTCGAGAAACTAGACGTTAGCACACTTCCCTTGCCCGCTCTGCCCAAGCGTCGGCGCACCCGATCCCGCGCCAGTCCCTCAAAGCACCTGAAGCCTCCACAGCCGCCGCGCCATGAAGCCGTCGAAGATACCAGTGCAGGTGCAACAGCAGGAGCAGCTCAGCAGCCACCCAAGCACCGTCAGCGAGCAGCTAGTCCGGACGCTCAGAAGCCGGAAGTAAGCAATCAACAAGCGAACCAGAAGCAACCAACTCCTCAGCAGCAGCATCTCTCGGCCTTCCAGCAGTACGTGGCGAAGCGAAGGGAGAGCTTGGAGGCCTCCAACAGGAGTTTCAACGAGAAACTGGAGGCGCGCAGGATGCACTATCACATGGGCGGGGCCAATGGAGGTGCCCCCAACGGAGGAGTTCCCACCTATCTATTTGGGGAACACTTTCACGGGGGACACGGCTCCGGATCCGGGCGGAAATCGATCTCCCCCGCCACCAACAAGGAGGAGATTTTCCTCAACAAATCCGGATGGGTACAGGTCAACACCAAGCGCGGCAGCAGCAAGGAAGACTATCATAGACTGACCTATGGTCAGCAGAATGGAGGAGTTCCGGATCGTGGTAGAACCCCGTCCCGGGCCATGGGAATGGATCACAATCGTCGCTCGGACCTGGCCCGGCAGTCGTTTATACAGCAGCACCACCAGCAACAACAGCAGTCTGATTCAAAGTTTGTCGGCTCAAAAGTGGAGGAACTCATCCAGAGAAACGAGGCGCGTTTAAGTGGCTTCTCTTCGCGAGATCCTGCCCTTAGGCCGGGCTACCGGATTATCGATCCCCAGCTGGCGAATATTCTCAACGAGCGACCCGGCTTCTTACCAGTGAAGAGCCCCAATGACCTAGACACGCCCATCACGCCCATACTGTCGCCGCCACCCGCTTTCCAGGACAACAGTCGCAGCAGTCGGCATCCGGAACGACGCAAGCCAAGTCGGCAGCAAGTTCCGTTGCCGGTGCCTTTGCCCGTGCCACTTCCGTCACAGACACAGTCCCAGCTGAGCACTCAGCAGCAAATGGCCAATGGCACCGCCAAGGGCATGGTATTCTCCCGCAGCTTTGAGTACGACACACGGCGGCCCACCCCCACCGACAGCTACGTGGAAACCTTTTCCCGCAGCTTTGATGGAAACCTGTCGGAGCGACCCTTGAACTTGGGCATGCCCATGATGGTGACTCTGCAGCGCGAGAGGTCCCCCAACTTCAGCACCCTGACTGGGAACTCACCCAACTATTTAACCAAACGGGAGAGCAGCGGCGGGGGCGGCAGCAGTGGCTCCCTTCGCAGCCGGGACAACTCGCCCAAGTATCTGAATCCGCAGACGACGACTGCCTATTTGAATGCAGCGGTAAAAGAGGCGCCACCAGTGTACAGTGTGGCCACCAACCAAGCAAAGTACTCGCCCCGTTCCCGGCATGAACGGACCGCTGAGCGCACCAAGAGCCATGCTCTGGGACGGTCGCGAAAGTCCCAGTTCAGTCGGGTGGGCAGCGCAGGTCCTTTGGTCGCCCACCCACCCACTGGGATAAGCATGGGCGTGTCGCGATTCCGCAGCTTCGATACGTCCAAGAGTCAGCGCCTCAACTCCTGTGACAGTGGCGCGAGATCAGGTGGGTGCAAGAAATTGAGTTTTAATTACCAAACTTTTTGTTTAGCCAAGTTAAGGAAGTGATTAGCCACGACATGGGATGCCTTTTTTATAAGCCACACGCACCTGACCCTGTTGGGCGGAGGGTGGTTGGCTGCCTTCCAATCAGCATGACCAGGCCACTTGGCATTGACAAATTCCGCCAGCATCATCCCTATGATAGTTGGCTTTTTTTCTTTAGTGATTAATGTTTGATGATTAGGCAAATCGCATGTCGCATCGGAAGGTTGTTAAATGTGAAATAAATGCCACACCATTTGCGGTCAGTCGCTACCACTATTACCACTAATGTCCTGACGTCTGCTTCCCCAATGACAGATCTCTCCAACGACGAGCTGGACAACGAGGACGGCGGTCTGAACGAGTTTCTTTCCGCTGGCACTCACAAGTTCCCCAAAACCGGGACATGTAGCGTTAGCATCTCCCCTTTCAAGATGCAACGCCAACGCTCCCTAACTCCGGATCGCAACGAGTCGCACAGTTCGTCCAGCAGCCTGCGGAAACAGCGTTCGCTGACTCCCGAATCCAGGTCACTGACCCCCGAGGAGCGCCGCAAGAAGGGCTCCCAGCTGTCGCTCAGCGGCTCCCGTCAGAATTCCGGCTCAAGGAGCAGCACATTGGAGTCACGTCAACGACACGAGGACAGGACGCCACCCAACATCTCTCGCAGCTCCTCCAGTTCCAGCTACAGTGGCGGGGACTCCCACGAACCCCTCAATGCCAGCAACAGCGCTACAGTCACGGCTTCGGTGGTGGTTCCCGGCAGTAGCTCCTCCAGCCATCGACGTGCTCTTACCGCCAAGCAGGCGGAACAGGAGCACCGCATCAGACGGTCCCGGTAAGTAGACTCTATTTATTTTTATTTATCCGTAAGTTATTCATGAAGAAAAAAGTTTCCGTGAAAATCTTATCTTTTCCAGACAGGTAGGCATGGAGAAAGCGAAGCTTGTAGCCATTTTTAATATTCTTCCTAATTTTTTTACATTTTTGTTTGCCAGTAAGATGTTTTTTCATAGATAAATTTATTGATATTCGATGTACAATAAGTTTAAGGTATTTAGGGTAAATTTATACCGCTCAAGAATCGGATGACTATTGCCAAAGATATAGCCTTCGCTGTGGGCCATATAGGGCCTCCAAGCATTTTTAAAAGAATCCCCCCAGAAAATTTGACAAAAAATCTGAAAAATATTTTGTAACTAGATTTTGATGCAGATTTATTCAGAATCGATCTAGAAATCGTTTAAGCCATTCCGCTCAAGAATCAGGAGATTATTGCCAGAGATATAGCCTTTGCTGTGGCCATATAGGGCCTCCATGCATTTTCAAAGGGGTCTCCCCAGAAAATTTTACTAAAAATCTTAAAATTTATTTGTTTCTAGATTTTGATGCAGATTTATGTAGAATCGTTGTACGAATCGTTTAAGGTATTCCGCTCAAGAATCTGATGACTATTGACAAAGATATAGCCTTCGCTATGGGCCATATAGGGGCTCCATGCATTTTTGAAGGGGACCCTCCAGAAAATTTGACAAAAGATCTAAAAATTTATTTGTTTCTAGATTTTGATGCAGATTTATGTAGAATCGACGTACTAATCAATTAAGGTATTCCGCTCAAGAATCTGATGACTATTGCCAAAGATATAGCCATCGCTATGGGCCATATAGGGGCTCCATGCATTTTTGAAGGGGACCCTCTAGAAAATTTGACAAAAAATCTAAAAATTTATTTGTTTCTAGATTTTGGTGCAGATTTATGTAGAATCAGCGTACGAATCGTTTAAGGTATTCCGCTCAAGAATCTGATGACTATTGCCAAAGATATAGCCATCGCTATGGGCCATATAGGGGCTCCATGCATTTTTGAAGGGGACCCTCCAGAAAATTTGACAAAAAATCTAAAAATTTATTTGTTTCTAGATTTTGATGCAGATTTATGTAGAATCGACGTACAAATCGTTTAAGGTATTCCGCTCAAGAATCTGATGACTATTGCCAAAGATATAGCCATCGCTATGGGCCATATAGGGGCTCCATGCATTTTTGAAGGGGACCCTCCAGAAAATTTGACAAAAAATCTAAAAATTTATTTGTTTCTAGATTTTGATGCAGATTTATGTAGAATCAGCGTACGAATCGTTTAAGGTATTCCGCTCAAGAATCTGATGACTTTTGCCAAAGATATAGCCATCGCTATGGGCCATATAGGGGCTCCATGCATTTTTGAAGGGGACCCTCCAGAAAATTTGACAAAAAATCTAAAAATTTATTTGTTTCTAGATTTTGATGCAGATTTGTGTAGAATCGATGTACGAATCGATTAAGGTATTCCGCTCAAGAATCTGATGACTATTGCCAAAGATATAGCCATCGCTATGGGCCATATAGGGGCTTCATGCATTTTTGAAGGGGACCCTCCAGAAAATTTGACAAAAAATCTAAAAATTTATTTGTTTCTAGATTTTGATGCAGATTTATGTAGAATCGACGTACGAATCGTTTAAGGTATTCCGCTTAAGAATCTGATTACTATTGCCAAAGATATAGCCATCGCTATGGGCCATATAGGGGCTCCATGCATTTTTGAAGGGGACCCTCCAGAAAATTTGACAAAAGATCTAAAAATTTATTTGTTTCTAGATTTTGATGCAGATTTATGTAGAATCAGCGTACGAATCGTTTAAGGTATTCCGCTCAAGAATCTGATGACTATTGCCAAAGATATAGCCTTCGCCATGGGCCATTTAGGGGCTCCATGCATTTTTGAAATTGAACCTCCAGAAAATTATAGCCTTTGATTAAAATATATAGCTATTGATTGCGCCCTTGAGCATAATACTTAAAATATTTTTCAATCCAACGATTCTTTAACATTTTTATATTTTGCAGGTCATTGCAGCTTAGTGAGCGGTCACCGAACCGGACTCACAAATCCGTTGTGAATGTGGGTGGCGTAGTAACGACTCAGCCGCCACCGGCATCGACCGCCAGCTACCAGCAGACCCGCCTGGCCAGCGGAGCTAACATTTTTCCGCCCAGCATTAGGGCTTCTTCGAGCCGTAACCAAGCCTCTTCATCTGGGAGTGCGGTAAGGGTGCGTCAAAGCCAAAATGAGGCGGATAAGGCCCGCTCCTTTGACTTTGACTACAACAACTACAGCCGCGGTGGGCGGAAGGTAGAGTCCTCGGCAAGAACGGCCCACACTAGCGGAAGCGGAGGCGATAGTGGCAGCAACCAGAACCTGCGCATCGAGCGGGAGTCCCGCTCCTTTGACGACGACTATCGCGAGGCAATGTTGAACAACAACAACGGCGGAAGCGGACGCTTTCTACAGCCCACGGTTGCGGACTCGGGACACGGCTCACTGGCCTCCAGTTCGTCATCCCGCCTGCGCAAGAGCAACTCGCCGGTCAACACATCGCCCAACATGGATCACGGCGCATCGAGGTCGCCGCAATCCTCGGGCTCTTCTACAAACAATCTCCACCAGGCGCAGCCCCGGCAGTCGGGTAGTCCGCAGAGCTACGGGACGCGTTTGTGTGACCACGAACTCACATACGAGATGCTTCGGAAATCACCGATCATGAACTTCCGGCGGGGCGACAGCAGCGACTACGAACTTCCCGTAATGCTCCGAAATCGGGAGACCATAAACTCCGGCGGCAACAGTGAGCTGAACTTTATGAGTAACGAGACTAGAATTTATGAGCACCCGACAACGGTCTTGAAGCCTCAACGCTCGCTCCGCCAAAATCCAGGATCACGGGACGACCTGACGACCTTGGAGGTGGCTGTGGGCGTGGGTGGTGACTACATCTACCGGCAGGCAGCCACTCAGCCGCGCAGTAGCAGGTACTAGACACCACCAGACAGACTTCCTACCACTTATACTACTGCTACCACACTACTTCCTCTCTCGACCAAATCTAATAACACCCAAGGGGTGCACTAACCCGACCAGAGAAGCACCCGTGCGTATGTGTGTTTCAAAAGACTGTCCATGCATACTAACTAATCTAATGTACTAACCGAATCTATGAATTTGCGGCGGTGGCGGCCTTAGTAATTTATTTATTTTCACCGCTTGGCACGAAAATACACGTACTAACCTAATTCAAAAGTAAAAACCGAGTAGTGGGACATGAGATGGCTTCCCATTATCGAGGTCACATAACACGAAGAAGCTATTAAGAAGGAATTTGGCTGCCGGATGGTGGCTGGTGGATGGTGGATGCTTTCTCGACTACGTGGGCTGACGTGTCATATCCTTGTTTTATAGCACACCCAATGCGAATCCCAAACCCATACCCACACCCACACCCAATAGAAGCTGCAGTAAGACATTGGATACCTGCGACTATTGGCCCCGATGCGCGGGCTGTCAGGAAAAAAGTGCCAGTGCACCTGGAGTCAGAACGGAGAAGAAGGATAGGAAGGAGCAGCTACCGCAGCAGCACGTCACCACAGTGGCCGTCAACGAAAACCCGAAGCAGCCACGCGTCGAAAAGTCCTCCAATCCACCATGGACCTTCTTGTGCAGCGGAGTGGCCAGCATTTGCCATTCAGATAGTATACAGACAACGCAGGAGGCCGGAACAGGAACAGTAGCTGGAAGAGAAGCTGGCGTAGAAGGCTCCCCAGTGGCATCACAAAAGGAGATTGCGCTCAGGTGAGTTTCGCCTTTTCCACAGTCCAAAGTCGCCAGAGTGACAGCCGGTAGAGGAGCCATTAGCGATTGACAGGCGCAAAACAGAGTCCAGAGCCCGTTCCAGGGCCCAAGTACCCCATTAAACATGACAGATAACAATGAAAATGAGTGGCGACAGCGGAATGAGATTGGATACTGTCAATAATGGATAATGGTCATCATCTTTGTATTTTGCTTTCTGCCCTTTTTAGTGTTGTGTGCCGAAGGGAGAGGAAAAAGCAAACGAAGGCCGTAAAGGACAAGTGCCGTCGCGACAGCAGGAAACGCAGTCGATCCCTGCCCAGCATGCTGATGCCACAAGGACCTCCAGTCGAGCGGTAAGCATATTTTTCCCGTCTATTTTTGGATTCTTCAATTAGCGTTTTTGCTCTGTTTATCGGGAAGGCAGGGAAAAGCCAAATTTAGCAAAATTGTTTGCCTGTCAGTGTTCATTAACCTTTAATCGATGGATGTTCAATTGTATACATTTCGCTGGGCCTCAGGTCTCAGGTGACTACATGCCAGGACACCAACAGACACAGGCGTCGGGTTATAAAAGTCGCAATTGTGTTTTATCGGCTGGCAAACTGGCCTCCACCAATGTGGCATATGCCATTGTCCAACATCGTAGTGAAAAGGCTCAGCAAAGTCTGCGCTTCCTCTTTATTGTCAAACAAATAAACAGCCAGTGGAGCCACAGCATCCTCCTCCATCCATACCCATACCCACACCCACACCCATGCCCATGCCCGAGTTCAGCGACCTACTGCTCGACTATACTATAGACACAGATTTGAACATCGTCCTTAGCCCGCCCCTCGTATTCTACTTGCCTCCTTTTACGCTCCTCCATAAATAAGTAATGAAGAGGTGTGTGCGTGTGTAAGAGTGGCCATGGTTGTGTGTAGAAGAGAGCGTGCCTCGTGCCACCGGCATCCGCAATCCGCCATACAACATCCAGCAATAGCTAAATAAAACCGGCGAGCTGTATTGACAGAGATTGCTTTTGTCACGGAATGTCTGTAAATTAGTCTCTTTGAAAAGCTCCTTTAAGGCTGCTCCAACGGCTGGCCATCTGAAAGATTCCCTCCGGCTCTCGATGAATAAATTCCTTCAACGGAAAAGTATTTAAAGCTGCCCCAGGCAAAATAAAACATATTTCGAATAGCATTTTGGGGAGGTTGCTTTTTCCAAACGTATACGTAATGCATTCAGCCAAAAATATTCGTGCATACGTTTGGGCAAACATGCACTTCTGCCAAGAATTGTTGCATACTTGCGGGCTCTACACACGAGATACCATAGGCATGCGCATTGCCTCTGTGTTTATTTTGTTTTTGGTCAATTAAATTGTATGAAGTGAGGACCTAAATAGGGTTGATTGTGGATTAACTCTGATTATTAGCTTAGTAGCTATTTAAATGTAACTGGGTATTAGCAAAATTAGTATAATGAGGCCGCCACTAGTACGCGTTAGGTACATGTGGATTGGTTATTATTCTATTTTTTGTAAGAGATATTGATTGGTTTTGATTGTAGGGCAAGTCCATATAGTTTATGAGTCTCATATAACTGATCCGTGACTTAAATTAAAATAAAAAATATAATGTTTAAATCCCTTACATACCGATAAACATACAAAATTTTATCGATAACCGCGAAATACCAGAAAATACCAGCCGCTAGCGCGATTAGGGGAGCTCAACTCTACTAAAAATAACAACAAGCAGCAACACTGAAAACCAGCTACACTGAACCCCAGCAACTATGAACACTGATAACAACAATCTCCTACCAACCGAAACAGACGCCGCACCGCAGCGAAAAGTTTGAAAAATGTATTTTTAACGACGGTGCGCGCGCCTTTTTCATCCGTCGTCCCGTGTCCAATCGGCTGAAGTTCTCTGGCCAGTGTCAGCTGTTTAGCCCCATTTCCATCTCACACGAAATTGTGGCCATTCCATCCGGTTTAAATTGCAAAATCTTTTCCGAGAATCGAGAGCCGAGAATCGAGAATCTAGAACCGCGACGAGTGTCAATTAGCCCAGCTGCATAGAGTTGTTCTGTGCACTTTCTGTGAAGGTAGAAAAGAATAAAAAGAAACAAGTCGATTCGCCGGTCGTGGGCGTCCCTCTCGGAGTGTGTATCTGTATCTGCAGTTGTTGCTGTATCTTTTATATATCCCTGTGTATATATGCATATATACAGTATGTACTCTGCTTGGGCAGAAGCCAAAATGTTTGTGGACGCATAAGCAACAACGCAAATAGCGCATCTAAAAACGAACCATAAGCGAAAATCAATAAGACCGAAACCGAACCGGGCCGGACCGGACCACAAAAGTGTTTATTACATGAGCAAAAATGTCTGCCAAGACAATTGGTGTAAATGTTCCCGTTACCGCCGCAACGGCTGCCGCGTTGCATCCACCAGAACACCAAAGCGAGGAACCAGAAACAGAACCGGAGCGGGAGCGGGAGCGCGAGCAGGAGCAGGGCGCTGAGTCGGAGGCCCTGGTGGAGGTGGCAGCCGAAGCTTGTGAGCTGGAGAAGCTCACTGGCCCAGATAGTGGGCGTGCCTCGGCAACCGAGTTCGAGGAGACTGCATCCAAAATACCGCCAGCCCTCGACCACGAGGATGTTTACGCCAGCTGCGGCCTCCACACCAAGTGGTATTTACTGCCCGAGGATGACAATTCCCCATCCTCGCCCCCCAAGGAATGTGACGAAGGAGGAGCAACCGACGGTGACCCAGCAATGTAAGTTGTGACGATAGGAGGTCAACGACTAGGAGTATCTTTGAGCTTTTAGGACTTACCTTTCTTACTCTTCACCCTCGAACGGGCGGTTTCAAAGGAACTCATTAAAGTGAAAAATACAACTAATGCTTTAAATGAGAATCTCAATCGTATAATTATCAAAAATATTTCAAAATTTTATTTAATTTAGCTTCGCGGCTAGCGATAAACATTTCCTGAGAATGCTTATTTTAAATGATGATTATATGGTTTTTAGGAACCAAAGTTTAAACCGAAAAATATCAGTTGTGGAGGTCGTAAAATAAAGCTATTACTGGAGGCCACATACAGCTCCAAGTTGGCCCCGTAACGCTGCTAATTTTGCGGCCCATTGATCAATTATTCCGTGACTTCTGGCCGAGTGCCTGGTCTGCTGGGTGACTTTTTCGCCCATTGGCTTCCTGCTGGACTCCAGCCGACTGTGTTTACGGATTTAATCAGCCGTACATAATAGCCGAAGCACTGTGACCTGTTGAAGGACCCACAGCCTGCTTAAGGATTTCCCTCACGTGCTGCCCCCACCCGAGGATGTTTACTCACTTCCCGCCGCCCGTATGGCCTGCGGCATACGTTCGTGTATCTGCTTATCCGTCCCGGCGGGCCGGCGATCCGAGTGGCTCATCGCCCTGCAATGTTTTCGGCGGGGACGGCTATTTATAGAAGAGTATGCAAACGTTGCTCCCATGAGACTCTTCTCGGTTTGTTGATGTCGTCTATCTGCGGCACAAACTGCGGAAGTACAGGCACAGACTATTAGCAGAATCCCCCAAAGTGCAAATAGAGAATCATACTTTTTAATTTTTCAAACAGAACCATGACAATCTAGCCATTTTTTGTGGAAATACTTTTTCCGTTACATCAGCGACTGAGCAAAAAATGGTGTGCCGTTAGTGCAACGCCGGGTTGCAAGGCCTGAGCGGCATTCCTCGGAGCTGCAGATGCACCTTTTATGGAAGTCTGTCAGCCGCGATGAAATCCTTCGTTGTGATATAATAAGGTGCCGGGTCGGGGGACTCAATTTATGCGTATTTGTGGAGTCTTATGCAACAGACAGTTGCACTTGGAGAACGCCAACTTTCAGGCGCTTTCCTCCGCAGTGGTACTCCCCTCTCTAAAGCCCGGAAACCCCAGACTTCTCAGAACATTTGCTTAGGTCACTTCCGATTTACTTTTTGTCAGCTGGTCTGGTGTAGGCGATAAAGTTACAATCGGGTCAGTATCTCAGCATGGCCTCAATGTTTGCTTTGTTGACCCCCTTTACGGCCGCGAAGTCTCCCAGTAGTTAGGGGTGAACGTAATCTACTGATTTCCCAGGCAATTCCGATGCACCTTTGTCACTCTTATTTTGGGGCAACGATCCCCAGTGAGTAATGGGTCTCCGCAATCGATGGTCTTTGCAATCGATGACGACCCAGCCGAAATTCCTTCTACGACTTCCAAGCAGTCTTCGGCAGATTGGTGGAACTTGGCCTGGCCGGCTTATCTGCCACAAAGCGTACACTCAGCATGGCGAGGGGTACTACGTGACTGGTACCGGCTTGCCGAAAGATAAACGCCTCCTCAGAATAGTAACAGCGCACAAAAAAAAATCAGTGCCAGTGTTTCGAAATAGGTTCCACATGCCCCAGACAGTACCTACACTTTCAGTGATTTAACCTTTAAAGTTAATATTCCTATGCTCGTGTGACACACATTCTGTTTTATGTGGAAGAAATGGAGCTAGACAGACCTTTGGATCTTGAGTCACTCATCGGGGTTCCTATGGTTTTCTTTGTTTATTTATTATTATAACATTACACTTATTGTATTACAGTAAGTATATCTATTGTTTACTTCATTTTGGTAACCCAAACCGCACACACTTTCTTTGGGGGCTCATTGAAATTTCTACCTTGCTGCCATCTAATAAGCCATTCCATTTCATAATTTCCTTCTTGGAAGGCATTGATTACACTTGTAATGCTGTGAGCCATACATCTACTCCCAATTGTCTGCCAGATAGCGTAATAACAGGCTTTCCTCCAGGTGGGCCTTGTCTGTGATTAGATCTCCCTCCCATGCCGATATTACACTGTCGCGGGCTGTCAAATGGATCACCTGGGTAACGACTTCTTCCACCGGCGTTTGCGTACCTCGCGTGGAGTTCGGCCAGGATGAAGAAACCCGAGAGCCCCACTCCCAGGGCCAGTTACTTAGATTAACACATATTACCACTCATTTTCGCGGTGCATAGCAGCAGTTTCACAATTGAGTGAAATGTTCGGACCGCTCGTAAAGTATATATTGACAGTGGGGCAGAGCGGAGTGGCTGGCCGACTTGGCTCGCAGTGGAAAGTCAGAGTCGTCAGCCGGCCGACCAAGTCGTATTTTGGGCACGAAAGCATTTGGATAAAACAATGTTTAATTATGTTACATATATGAGGTTCCCGGGGAAAGTTATGGCTTTAAGGCCACCGCCACATCTGCTGGCCATGCGTCGCTGCTATTGGTGCTGTTTTCGGTGCGGCTCTGGCTGCTCTGCCTGCTCTGCCATTTGCGCTT